ATTTGTTAAAAGCGACAACTTGAAAAGTTTTGAAACATTTTTCCTTTGCTTCTTAGTATTAGGGTATGTCACGCATGAGAGACTAAACAAACGATGTTAGCATTAGAAGTTTCAAAAGTTATATGCATTCCCGTCCATCTCATTGTGCAGCTGCATTAAGAAACTATTTTTCGAAAGAAATAGTATGTTAATTTATATATATAGAGACCGATTTCTCATTGATTGTTTATAAATTGAGTCAAAGATTTCAACTGTTCGCTACGACACAACAGAACAAATTGAACCCGTTCCAAGTCTGCAAGACACTCAACTCCAAACCAACACCCCGTACATACCTACATTCACATCCACATCCACATTCATACTCATACACCCTACACTCACGCAACAGCAAACATCCACATCCGTATTCACGCAAACTCAAAGGAGCACGGTCACGAAACAAATATCAAATTGATATCCACCCTGACACACAGCTACAGCCACTTTCTCACACCCATACTGGTAGCACAGATGCCGATACACAAACCGTCACAAGCTGCTCCTCTATCCTATATACACTAACATCCAAAATCAAGTTTGTCGCTATGCACACCCACACGCAGGCATACTCATACCTTCCAAAAGGTTTCCAATTGGTGTAGGATAGACTGTATACGGTATATCATGAAACTGGTCTTCTGTTTGCATCTTAGTTCTCAGTAAATTTATCGCAAGAGAACTACGATGATCGCATACGGATTGTAGATGTCTTGAACTTTTCGAAAACGGGTAGTGCAAGAATGACGATGTGAGCGAATGACAGGCAGAGAATTGTGTTACTCATTAAATGCGCAGACGCTTCTCTGCAACAGAAATCATTTCACCATAGTCAACATCTGGATGTCATACAAGTGCAATGCTGATTATCGCCACAATAATAACACGAGACTCACTGCTCAAGCTTCAAGGCTTACTTTTTCTCGATTCTTCGTTTGCGACGTAGAATAAATATGCAAACAATAGCTTTTGGTGTATGTTACAGAGAAAATAAATCTCTCACATCGCTTACTCAAATAATGAATGTGTGCAAACAAGCTATGCATACATTTGCCTTCCCTCTTGCATGCTACTCACTGGTAAGAAATAATTCTGCTGCTTAACAAAAAATATTGCATTGTTTGTTCTTGAATCACAGGTAAATTTCGCAGGACCATTCTAAATTATGACAGGCTGCTAGATCGTGACCATAGATGCTAAATCGAACTACAAGTGTTGTCCCAAAATATGGAACAAAGTTCGAGAATGTAGGTTACCCCTTTCGTTGCGGGGTTTTTCTGACAGAATGCAATGATTTTAACTTTTTGATAGAAGCCTAAAAGATAGTATAGACGTCTAGGGAAAATGGTGAATTTCATAAAGGTCCATAGAACTCCATAAGATTGTTTGGTTACATACTGGACTAGAGTGAAGTGGCAATCAGTGAAATCTTGTGGGTAGTTTCATGAAAAATCTGGGAATTCCGTATCATCATAAATATATCAAATGAATTCTAAGTTACAATTGTCTATATGACCAGAACCTTAGTAATAGTCGTTGTCCAATGAGGCAACAACAATTTTGAAATTCTATACGTAATTTAACGCAAATATTTTTAATTTTTGAACTCCAAAACTTTACAATTGATAGCTCCTATGGATTCCTATAATTTTTTAAGTCTAAACTTCCGTGCTTGTACCTTAATATATATGTAAAGTTGTAGCATGTGATGACACGATGATGCTTGCACTATAAAAGAATGAGAACAACTTTATGTTACAGGCAAGAAAAGGAGATTACAAAGTTATAATCTATGTATAACTTTAGTCTGTGTATATACGGGCACCGTAACGAAAGAGTTAAGAGTGAGATTTGATTCGTCCGCCAGTAGATAAGAGAAAGACTTCCCTAGTCGATTCTCCCCAATGAAATCACCGGTGAGTCCGCTGAAAAATGCGAAATCCCTGGTGAGTCCCTGTCGTGAGTCCCCGGGGAGTTGAATATCTCAGAAATCCCCTGAAATTCCCCGATGACTCCCCAAATTTTATGGAGTCCCTCTAAAATTTTCATAAATATAAATTTTTTAGAACGTTCCAATGGTGGCCTCTTGAGAGACCTTGATAATACTCATAAATTCCCTGGTGACTCCCTACAATGTTCCCGGAAAATCCCTGAGGAATCCCTAGGGAGTCCCTGAATCCCCTCTTAACTCCACCACGGATTCACGACAGAGAATTCCCAGGGATTGTACTAGGGAGTCTGGACTAGGGTTTACTCTTCATGCATCACCCACATCTTTACGAGGATCTGTCAAACACGGGAACATCGACGGGCATCTATTGTGAGAAGGCTAGTATTTCTGTGGATAGGTGGATGAGTGAGGATGTGAATGTGAAGACAAAACCCATCTCACCTCTTTGTTAGCAACTACGTCGAATTATTCGCATCGTACAATTGACTATATAGGATATCACACTCTAGCACCAAAAGTTAGCCGCAAAGGAACCATATGAAAGAAAGCCTTTATGAGAGTGCAGCTCATTGTTCATTCTGCTACAACTATTAGAGTATGCAGTCTGAATACGCGTTTTTACAAATGCAAACAGAGACTAGATGTTTTTGAAGGTCGTGAATTTGAATTATAGGTCAGATTTGCATTTTATTACTTTTTTTTAATTATGAATTAGTAAAGTTTTGTTATGAACTGTTAATAATTCGTAACAAAAATACTAAAAATAGAAATCTGACTTTAAATTAGGAGTCCTCACCTTTGATTACCATTCGGCCAAGTTTTATAGAAAATATTAATGATTAAGAATAATTGCTAACAAAACTATAAATAAAATGAAAATCTTATCTGATGTCGTCTCTTTTTTAGCAGCCGCGACGCAGTTCAATCGTAATCGAACACATGAGGACCTATATCGATATCCACGTCGAAACTCATCAATCACAGGCACTTTTGAAACCGCCAGTCTTCAACGCCTTTTTGGCTGCACTATAGCCTTGTAATATAGAGGATACAACTAGCATGTATCTGCTTATATATACCATCATTCAGTGCTCACTTTGCAAATCAATTTCCTCATAGAGCCTAGTAATGGAGAAAAACTTAATTTCCAACGTCAAAATCCATTTTACAGTTTCTTGGAAACGTCTTTTCAGATTTTTGCTCCTCTTATCTCATAGATTTCTTAGCTATTGTATACATATCAGAGAGCTTAGAATGATATTAAATGGAAGAAAAACTTGCGCAATGTAAGACAACGGAGCCGGATTTTTCCGCTTTGGACTTACTTTTTCAAAAAGCTGAATTTCTTTTCTTGAAGATTTTCTTAATTTCTGGATTTTTTTCTGAAAGCTATCATCAGATGTGAAGAAAGAAAATTTTAAAAAATTGGTTCTCATTAAATCCCACTGACCAATCTCAACTACATTTTGACACGAATCCAAATGAATGTGATTAGATTCGGGGAAGAAATCCTGGAAACGTTAACTCTTGATGCAATACTAACTATTGAGTAGCCAAATGTTTTCGATTGAAATATTTAGTATGCACTGCACACACATCACCCCATATCCTTCACAGTTTTCAACTAAATCTTTTGTTCTACGGCAAAAATAGATTTCTGAGTGAGAAAGTGAGTTAGCATTCAGAAACTGTGGTATCAGAGTACTAGGTTGTACTTTACTAGCACTATACAACCATAATATATTGAAAAAAAAAGTGCGGTGTAGAACTTAAAGAGTGTTATACAAACGCACAAAACCAAAAATGGGTTTGGAATTTGTTGCAATTATCGAAACCGTACACCTTCGCTGTAGTATTAGATTAATGTCTTGAGTAGTTAAAATATAACATATAATCTTGTCTATTTATATAAGAAGTTTCTATTATTTTAGAACATTGTAATTTTCACCTTTTGGTAAAAACCTTGTTGCTCATCAATTTAATTTTATTGGTTTCACTATTTTGGTAAGACGTTAGGGTGCTCAAGTGCTGTTTTATGAGAGATAGCCTTCCTGTTGCAAAGAATTATCTGTATCTTGCACTTTTAGAATATAGTCTTCTGTGTATCGTATATTGCAGTCATCCAAGTAGAGAAAAAATCAACAATGAATATTCTTATTCCTATGGGTGGGATTGGCGGTCGTTTTAGCAAGGAAAATTATCGCTTTCCGAAACCACTTATTAAAATTGTTGGAAGACCGATGTTGTTTTGGCTATTAGATCATTTAGATACAAAAGAAGATGATATTATATATATATTGGGATTTTAGCAAATTTGGAAAAGCAGTTTGACTTAATTCAAACATTGAAAATGGAATATCCAAAGAAAACATTTCAAGGGATTATTTTCGATTTTGAAACAAGAGGTGCAGCTGAGACGCTATTCATTATGTTGCAGTCAATAAATGAAGATCGTTTGAAACGGAAAACAATCTCCCTAGATTGTGATACCATTTACTTCAAGCCGATCATCGAAGAATTTCGTCAATTGCCAGATAATTTGAACGCTTCATTTTATTTTGAAGATAATGATGGGAAACCTATATATTCTTATTTAAAATTCGAAGAAAATACTACTGCAGAAGGATATTCCTTAGTAACAGAAGTGTGTGAAAAAATAATGATTTCAACTCATGCGAACACTGGTGCCTATGCTTTTCGTTCAGCTACCATTTTAAAACAATTTTGTATACAACTATTGGACGAAGCAGTAGGGCATTTCGGTGAATACTATACAACAAATGTTATCAAATTAATGATAGATAAGAAAGAACTTTTTGTTGGAATTCAGGTTAGTTTAGATGATTTCGTTTGTGTTGGAACTCCTGATCAACTAAATCAATTTTAAAAAAAAATAAAAACTAAAGAAAGTCCAATAGCTTTACGTCAAGTGAGGTTCTGCTTTGATTTGGACAACACATTGGTATCTTATCCAACTAAATACGGTGACTATAACTCAGTTGAACCAAAAATGCAAAATATTCAATTGGTTCGAGAATTACATAGAGCTGGCCACTATATCATAATTCAAACAGCTCGTCGAATGAAGACTCGTNTTTATTTTACACCTAATAATATTTTATTATTATTAGGATATTTAAATGTTATTGATACACCAAAAGATCTTATTCTTTTGAGATTAATAAATAAAAAATTTGTTATTCAACAAATTACTAATGGACATAATACATTTCAATATCATTTTACTGATGAAGTTTCTTTTTCAAAATATAAAGTAAGAATGAAAAATATAATTTTATTAACTTCGACGAGAAAAAGTCGAGTCTCAGTCGTGTAGATGAGAGCCACCTTAAAGGTTATAATTAAATATTCTATGATTTTAAGTGAGTCCATATCAATAAGAAATGCATTTTATAGATGTTGTTGTTGTTTGATTCTCGTTGATCATTTTCTGCTTTTTTTCATTCCGAAATTTCAAAGTCTTTTTGAATGCATGAAAAAAGTGTACTGTGCTCTTATCTAATTGATTACTCATACATTTGTTTTATTAACTAGCTTTGCAAAGCAAACGTTAACAAATATTTCGGACTTCTACTTTTAATAAAGTTAAGAAAAAAATTCAATAGGTCTATCCTTGAAATGATAGAATGTTGATCAGCTATTAACTGTCATACCTGCAAAGATGCTCACTTTACAAGTACTATGCAAAACATTTTAATGTTACCCACACCCACACCCTCTTAGTATATTGGGATTTTGTGGAGAATGGAAGTACTTAGAATACCTTAAAAGGTGACCATTGGATAGAGCTCATTGAGTTCTATCTTGATCCGCAGAGTTTAGTCCCAACTGTGAGCGAATCCAGTTACGGAATACTCGAATCCAGGCCCAAGATATCCTACGTTGATAATAATTAGTTGTTGTTTGGTAAAAATAAATAATACAAACTATCTTACTTACAAGAAGTTTCTTCTACAAATACAGAGAGAAAGAGAGGACAATTATTTTAATAATTAATTTTTATTTAAATTTCATAATATCAAGAATATAATATGAGAATTTTTAGCACAATTATTTTTATCAAATAATAGAAAAAGAAACAATCTCTAAGGAAGGAAAATAGACATAGAGTTTATTTGGATAATCACGTTTGTCGCAAAAGTTTATTCGTTTTATATTAGCACAGTTGTTTCGTGTTGCATTTCTTGTAAAATTCTTTGTTACATTTTTCAAATTTCTATAAGATAGTTTCAATTCGGTTAAACGTGGTACATGAGTTTTTGTATCAAGTAAAAACTGTTCAATATAATATTTATCTAAATTATTCATATTAAGTGAAATAAGATGAGGAAATCTAATAATTGAATTTGATTGAATATAATCAGCTTCATATTCTTCAAAATTCCATAATGGTGACATCATATTAATAATAGTAAAATATTTCAACAATGTAAAAGCTTTAGAAACTCGAATGAAAAAACTATAATTGAATTGAATTGCATCAACTACTTGCAAATAAGTAACATGAGAAAATATTAAAGATGGAAACTTATTGGTGATCATTTCAAGACGATTAAATATAAATGGAAGTGAAAAAACATGACATATTGCATTTGATGAAGAATAATAATCAACAATACAAGATGTTTGATAATAACCTATATTATTAAATGTTTGTTGCATATTATCATCTGATAAATGATGAACTGAATCATCAATTGGAATTTTAGTACTAATATAGAAATTAAATTTATGAAGTTGAGACATATGCATGAGAATTTCATTATATAGATGAGTACCATCAACAAATGTAGATCGATCTACAAGACGAATATATAAAGTTAATTTTTCCAAATAAGTCATACGACGAAGTAAAGGTATTAATTGATTATCATATGCATTAGTTAGACTAAAACATGTTAATGAGAAACATTTCAAATTTGATAGATCATTCTAAAAAAAAACATACAAATATTTATTTAAATATTACATCTAAATCAATTAAATTAAGAGAAATATTTATATAAATTATTAATCAACTACTACTTAAGGCTTACCTAAAGTAATGGCACCATTACTTTATTTCCATATAGAAAGCTTGAAGAAATTTTCTTATGTTATCGAGTGATAGAGAAAAAAAAATGTTCTATTTTTCTATGCTATTTGATCCTTCTTCAACTAATATCATAATAATACAATTTCTATAAATGTTTCTCTATCAATATGTGATGGTTATATTAATGCCTATTAGGCAAGTGAATATTTGTTGAATAGATTTCGACAGAAACAAGATAGATAGCTTGGATTTTCATCGTTTGAAAGAGGAGATAAATATGTATCGAATCGTATATTATAGGCGTTTCAATCTGACTTTTCGAAGGTTTTCAATCGATCCTAACCCATGAGATGTTTCCAACAAATTTTCAATTGTCACTTGTATGTTTAAACTGTTAAAGGAAGACTTACACAATTGCACAAGATTCATATTCTTAGAATAAATTGAACAGAAGTTATATGTAATTGAATCGAAATTTTAAGTGATTTTTTGACACTCAGAAAATTGATTAAACAAACTTCAAAGAAAACACTAGAAAAGCCTACAATATACAATTCAATGCATCTGTATCTCTTCTTTCGAATAATCAAAACTGCAGCTGTCTATCCTGTTTCTATCAAAATTTATTCAAAAAAGATATATTCGTCCTAATAGGCATTAATATAACCGTTATATATTGATAAAGAAACAGTTCATATCGAAATTGTATTATTATGATATCAGTTGAAGAGTGATCAAATAGTATAACAAAATAGTGCATCGTTTTTTCTATCACTCTATAAAAATCAAGTCTTTTTATACGGAAATAAAGTAGTGGCGCTTCTACTTTTGATATGTTCTGAGTATTATATATCACATATGTTTTCAAAATTAATGGGACAAATATCGAACTCTATTACTCTTCTATAGAAAGATACTGAAAGAAAAGTTCTTTTTACCACATATGAAAATAAGAAAGAGAAGCACTCTGAAAATGACTCTGAACTTTTTTTTTTTTATAAAAGGACTGTCTAAAATATTTATTCTTAATATCTTTTCAATAAATAAATTCTGAAACGAATTTTTTTTATCAATTGATAGGAAATTCTCTCTTCTTTCGAACACTGTATGATTCATATTTGTCACACATTAGTAAGTGAAACGAGAGGTGAAAAAAAGAAAAACACTTGCGCAATAAATTTACAAGTTCGTTAAGAACATTTTTCTGACAACGGCTAATTCAAATTAACTCTCAATTAACAAGATGTTTTTTCAATACTTCATAAAAGTCGAAGTAATCATCATTTTACAAAGTCATTTTTTTTTATCAGTTGCACGAATTGTTGATTAGCAAGATGTCTTTGACGAGTTCATATATAAAAAATTAGAAATTACTTGTGCGATTCCTTCTCTACTTTTCTCCTGTCATTTCATTTAGGATTGTGCAACATATATAAATGAACATTTCCTATTACTTGATGAAAAAATAAATTGCTCTAACACATACTTACTAAAAAGAAATATATAAGAGTTGATATTTTCTACTATTATTCTACATAAAATGAGAAGTGTTGAGTCATTTTAAGAGTGTTTCTCTTTTCTATTATAACAACATATGATTTATGAACGTGTAGTAAAAAAAAGCTATATAGAATTCGAAAGGGAAAAAAGTTCTATCTTCTGATAAAAAGAAAAATTTTCTTTCAATACTTTTCTATAGAAGAGAAATAGGATCTGGCATTTGTTTCATTACTTTTGCAACATATGTTATGTACTGCTTGAAAATTTTTTCTTATATTTAATCTAACTATCGAAATCTTCTAATCATAACACAGTAAAACAATTGATTTACTTTAGTAAACTTTTACTTCTATATCAATTGTAATACATATGAAAAGAGTTCGAAAATTTTCAACAAATATCATATAATTTCGAAATTCGGTGACGTTCGCCAAACATAAAAATGCTAAATATGATAATTAACAACTGATAATTTCCTTATATGGCTATGCATGATTAACTCTCAGAATGATATACATATCTGAATGGTTAAATGCATATATATGTTTTCGAATTAATTACCGTCTCCTGCAAAATAAAATCGTCTACGAACAAGTTTCGAACGTTGAAAAATATGTCCGAATAATCTATATAGTAGTGTTATAAAGAAACAAAATCTGACATCTTCCTTATTAAGAGAAATAGATCCATGCATATTATACATTTTAATCATAGTATGATTATTCAACAACTATCAATATAAAGGAATCAACATATATTAAATAAATAAAAGTATATTAACTAAAACTATATCTAATGAGAGCATATTTACCAAGAACATAACTGTCTGATGCATTATTGAAAATTTAAAATATTTATTGCATTAGAACTAATTTATTTTTAACTAAATAGTGTTTAAAAACAAAAGAATTAAATCGTTACGTTTCAAAATATTAGCAAAACAATAACGTCAAATCAATTATATGACATAAATCAAATAAATATGTTGTTTGTAAAAAAAACAAAAAAATTAGATTTCAATGGAATATAATTCAAACTATGTTTCATATTTTAGTTAATTCCGAAAAAAAACTTTTTCAATCAAAATGATACTTATTTAACGATAACTAGTGCATTTTCATAAGTGACTTAGTTGGTAAGTGAAATCATTATTAAAATAAAGCATGCAACTCAATAAAATAAATGAAAAATCAGATAGGCTCTCTTAAATGGAATGTTCTGCTTGCAGTCAGCCGACATTCTATCCAGCATGCAGTACTGAATCACAATCTAGTAATATTTGACTTTTATTCATATGAAAAAATAAATGATAATTTATATTATTGATTAATTCAATATTATCATCTTTGATAGTCATTATGTACTGAAAATAATTATTAAATAAAACTATAAAGTTACGGTATTGTGAACAATTGATGAATCATTATGTATACAATCAATTTGTACAATAAATGTAATTAATTGTTTAAGACGACCATCAAGTAAATAAAGACAATCATCTAAAATATTTACATTGATACATAAATTTGTAAGAATCGAAGAAAAAAAAGTAGTTGATGGTAAATCATGAATGGACAATGGTGGATAATTGATTTTGGATGATGAAATAATAGTTAAAGATTTAAGATTTTTGAATAAATTCATTATTGATAAATAAACATTTTTAGTATATTCTTTTAATACTATTGTTTGTTCTATGCAATTATAATAATCATTATTTTCAAGAATAAGTTCTTTTATTTGATATTTAAAAATATATTGAAAGATTGATTCATCTAAACAAAATAAAACAAAAATAAGTAAATAAACAACCAGTTTATAAATCTTATTTTGTTTAAATATTACGATATATATTTTTTTTCTCATATATGAACATACTGAATATTTACCTGTAAAATAATTTAAAGCAATATGTTGTGTAAAATTAAATAATTTCATAGAAGTTAAATTTGGATAGTTGCCAGCAAGAAGAATACGCTCCATAGACATTGATTCGAAAAGAAGATGTTTGACATTATGATGTATATTAGGTAATATATTAATACAAAGACGATCAAGTATTCGATCATCAATTGAACGTATATGCTCATCATCATCAGTTGATGATGTTGAAACCAAATTTAAAGTATTTGTGAAGATATCATCGTGTAATAGAATATCAATTTTCTCGTTGTAGGTACCCATTAATGAATATAAAACATTTATATTGTCAAGTTTTTTCAATATCATAAACAATATTTCATTGGGCAAGTCAAGAAGTTGAATTTTAGACTGACTCATATTTTAATCGAGTTAACAATTTTCTCCTCTAAACTGATATATATATATATATGTCGTAGGCCAATCTCGAATTGGCCTAGACCATTCTAAGATTCGAGTTTGGACTAGTTCAAATTTGAATAGAGTAACCAATTGAAATCAAACTTCAATTTTTGCCCTCAAATTGATGTTGAATTCCGAATTTGTTTTTTGATGAACTACAACAGATCGATGCCATTTGCTTTTACAATAGTCCTCTTAAAATTTGAAGTCAGATTGAAAAAATTATGAGTGGTTGCATGTGTAAATAGAGATTCCATTGAAAATTGTTTGTAACAGTTCAAATCAAACTTTCATTATCAATCAATTATATACAAAGAGATCATCACCACTGTACTATTGCTAGTCAAAAGAAATTCTCAGTCAAACATGGATTTGAGGACAGAAATTGAAGTTAGATCGCAATTTGTCGCTCTATTCAAGTTTGGACTAATAGTTACTCTCGTATATACAAAATTAGACGAGTTTACTAAACATTCGTATTTATATTTTATACTAGCGTCGGCCCGCGCATACTGCACGGCTGTTTTCTCCTTTAACGTATGACGTCAAAGCTTTAACCTTTCACGCAGTAAGAGCCATATAGACATTCTATATGATGTATATAGATAGCCCACGGCCTCATACTTTTATATGACACATTTTTATACTTCATTAGCTTTCGGTCTTATATCCCCTGGTAGCTCTTGTCCCCCCCCCCCAACAACAACAACAACATTTGCGGAATCATAGAAAAAAAGAACATCAAGCTAAAGATGTTGTTTGTTGATCAATTGCAATTGGTTTTCTTCAATTTTCGATAACTAAAAAAAACCAAAAAAAATTTGAAATTCATATAGAAAATTCTAAATTAATAATTATTTTTACACATACAAATGTTCATTTGCATTACGCATATGTACTGGTATTGAATATGGTGTTTGTTTTATAGCTGAAATAAAATGATGTTTATGAATAATAATTGATTGTTTCGATTGATATTCATCAAATGCAGCTAACTGTGCATTATAAATAAGTGCTTTTATATCAGCACCTGTATACATTTCACAATGTGATATAATTGTTTCATCATCAAATTTGATATCATCAGATAAATGAATTTTTTTTGTCCAAATTTTTAATATTGATATTATATCAGATTTTGTTGGAAAACCTATATATAAATGTTTAGTTTTACCACAACCAGATGGACCATAGAGAAGAATACCAGATATTAATCGAATAGGTACATTAGAAAAAATAATTTGAATACTAAATGATTATGAAAAATTTCTGAACAAAGTCAACAAAAAAACTTAAATCGTTGGGTTAGAAGTCAAACTTTATGCTCGGTTCGAATGAGCTATGTATACCCCTTAGCTTACTATTCCGGAGGTAGTGCACTTTTACGGTATTGTTTAAATGAATACCGTGTTCTCTCTCAGATAGAGCGAGCCCATTGGGTCCAAAACTTTTGGATCCGGGACCAACCCAACGAACTCCATATTCTAAGGAACACTGATTTTTGACTTGAAACTTTGGAGAAGAGATAAGCTTTAACGAAAATACGTTTTTTTTGTGTGAATGTTTCGGCTCTTGTTGCTGTTCCTATCGTAAGATACAACTATGTTTTTTTTTGCATTGCTTGTATAAACCGACAGATTCGATGCTTGTATTTAAGGATAGGAGTAAATCAAGGTTTGTCTCCGTAGAAAGTTTCAAGTCAAAATTTGGAAATCAGCCACAGTATTCATCTTAAAAATGCAGTATCTCCACAAGAATATGCTAACAGCATGAAATTTGTTTCAAGATATTCATAGCTCATTTGGATCTACATGATGCACATAGTCTCCGCTCAAAAACAATTTATCAGTTGGTGGACTTCCCCTTCATTAATCCTGCTGTCTTTTACTTGACTGCACACTACATTCTGAAACTTTTTTTTTGATGAGCACCTAGACAATATTTATAGTAGTAATGCCTTTATTGAATACTTTCTATTAGCAATTTTATTGCATAGCGTAAACAGCACGATAGTCCTTGCTAAGAAGCGAAAATCTCACAATAATCGAGTTGATTTTTGTAAGTCTAGAAATCAAGGAGTTTCAATAGACGTTGATGTGTCTTTTACTAAAAGTCTGTACTGTATACGTTATATTACCGACTCTTTTTTTTTTGTTGCATAGAATCAAAGACGAGATTGTTTGCTATAAAAAATTTCGGAATTGATCGAGCGCACTTTACAAGTCTGTTTTCTATAGAAATCGAGAAAACTGATACAGTATTACTTATCAAAATATTTGCTCTTCTATTTAGAGACCTTGAAAAAGTTGGTTCATAAATCTTAAATCATATTCAAAAAGAAGAAAAAAAATTTATTTTATAATATCCATTTACTTGAAAACGCCATTGAACTGTGTGAATAAGTTCTCGTTTAAGATCATCCATTCCACCTATATCAGACCAATGTAATGTAGGTCGATTAGGCTTTTTTGTGTCATCATCAAGTAATTTAACATTGATTAGTTTAAATTCATTAAATGCATAATCAAAATCAATATTTGATAATTGTCGATCTTCTAAAAATTTTATCTTGTTTGAAAGGAATTTATTAAACGTTTTTTTTTTCACATTATAACGTAAGAAGTGTACTACTAGTTTGACTATTACTTGTTAAAAAAAAAAGATCACGTTCTATTAGTTTATTTTAATATTGCTAATTTTAGAAAAATAAATATATATCTCTAGTTATTTTTGACTACTTCTATTTTCGGATATCTAGTAGATCTTATGTAGTATTCAATGCTACCGAACATATTGTTGATATTTTTGTACATTTTTACTTCATACATGGATACAATTCTGTTATCACTAGGATGAAGGTTTCCTGCTTCGATTGTATGATTCATATTATAGTCATATATAAATATACACCCTCGTCCTAGAATAAAGGGCCATGACGTTCTATTATAGAAATTAGCGTTGCACCTCTAAAGATGGTCTGCTATTCCGGACTGGTGTTTTGTTTAGATAATCAAAGGTGTTTGAAAAAATATTCTAATTAGCAACTAAATGCCGGGAAAAAATAGTACTTTTTATTGCAAGAAAAAGTTTTTTTTTTACTCAAAAACTGAATGTCTAGATGTTAAGACTCCAAAAAAATCGTCTAAATTTCCGAACAAGACTTTTGAAAAACTCATGATTGATTCATTAAGACCCACCCCACCCTTCAAAAAAGTCACTTTTCGTCAGAATGGTCGAAATTAAGATAAATGAATAGGAAGATAGTCCATGATTTGATCTTTCATAAATAACAAAAATTTTTTTACTCGGTATCTCATTTTTTTCCAAAAATTTCTGTCATTCTCTATTCGAAAAATAAGCTGTTAACAGAAAATCTTTTTCGTTTTTTTTCTCCATTTATAGTTCCTTGAGTGCGCAAATCAAATTTCTCTGTCGATACTCATTCAATATATTTAAATCTGTTTTTTTTGTTTGAAAGAGCACGTCAAGACGCAGGGCAGTACAGAGCACTTTTTTTTTTTAATTCTATATACAGACACTTATATAACTCGACACCCATTTTTTAAGGGTTTTTTTTGAGTCATTGAACTTTCGATCCCTTTTCTTGCCTTAAAAAGTAAGTATTTAAAAAAAAAAGGGCTCTGTACTGTACTGCATCCTGACATGCTCTTTCAAACAAACAAGAAAAATAAATCTCTAGAATGAACCTGGACAGAGAAATTTGGTTTGCCAAATAGGCTATTTTTGACTCTTGTTTGGTCAATATCTCCCTCAAACATCATGATATCGGGTTGAAAATTTTACCATAGCTTATCCACTACAGCTCCAACATATCCTGAAAATTTCATGCCATTTGAAGTTTTGAGATGTGGAGTCTTAACAAATGATAATTTTCTTTTAAGTTTAAAACATTTGAAGAAGAACTCAAAAGTCAATCACTTTATAATAAACACTTTCTTAACATAGGCTACATGAATTTTAGCACGATGCAAAATTCCTGTGACTTTTCAACTCAGGTCAAAAGTCATGTAGGACTTCCGACTTGGGCTTAAATTCTCTCTCATTAACTTTCCTAAACACCCGAAATTCTATAAAAAGTTGGTATACATCTTAATACTCAGCAGTCTACTTTGACTTTAGAACTGTAGTTTGATCTAAATGCGTGCTGCTGATAAGTACTTTCTAATGAAAATGCATACCGCTCAGCACTATGGAGTGTACCAATTATTCATAAGACTTTGTATGAAGATTAAAAGAGTAATTTAGGTCCGGTCCGAAATAATTCTGAACTTCCTCGTAATCTAACCCTACAAAATTACGAATCCTAATGTTCGTACGACTATACTTGATGAATGCTGTATTTTTCGACTGCTTTTCCAACAGAATGTTAATTCATGTCTTACCAAAACTCATCCATGAATGTAATAAAGNGTGGGAAGAAAGATAAGCAAAAAAAGAAAAAATGCATCCAACATATATTTATGACAGTAAGGGAAAAATCCAACACATATACAAATGACAGAATCGAAAAATTTATAACACATGAATGGTAGTGAGAGAGATAAAGATGCAGGTCATAACACAAACGTGTAAAATAAAGCAACCGCAACATTTACTTCGAAAAGACCCAGAAAAAAATCCAAATTCACTTGTGTCAGATCATGTAAAATTTCAATGACGCTTTAAAGCGTCACCGGTCCCGAAAGGGTTAAGTATCACTATTGCCCTCAACAAAAAAAAAATTTACTTTTTCACAGATAAGAAAAAAAAAACCATATACTTAACAAAGGATCTCTCTAGTCATGTCTTTATGAATATAAACTTTAAATATATCTCTATCACTGGTAAAAACTTTAGCTCGTTTAGTCGACATCTGGTGAAGATATTTAAATTTCTTATCGGGGTGTTATTTATGGGACACCCTGTATTATTCTATGCAATTTTTTTTTTTTGTATACTAATTCCTAATATGCTATCTGTTTTTATTTTTTACCTGAATCATGGTAATACAAGTCTATTTTTCATTCTTGTATCTAATTTTGTCACTAGATGGAAAAAAAAAATTTCAATTTTCTCAACAATAAAATAAAATCTAAGAAAGTGAAATAGGTACTTTTGTAATTCGCGATCTAACAATCCGAATGAGATAAGATACTTGCTTATATCTCTTGTTACAAAAAAAAAAAATAGATAAGTTTACAAGAAAACTCACAAACATGTATTATGTGATATACGGAAACTATTCCTGTCATTGAGAATTTTTTTAACCTTACTATTTCGAAATCTAAAAAAATAATTCCTTTTTTTTTTTTTACTCAATTTTTTATGTTCAATCAGAATACAATCTTTTCCATAACTGCTATATATTTATAATCATGTCGTCTAATTTTATTAAGTTGTATACCAATGGATAAGAAACAAATTGACTTGAATTTTATCTTCTCCGCACTTTTCTTAAAACACATTGAACAATATACCAACTACATTGTGTCTAATTGAGAAATTCTGAACATAAAGTACTCATTTTTCATAATATCAAAATATCTTATTTATTAAATCAGAAATGATATCAATTATTGCAGTAAGAATAAAATTTATTTATTGAGTTCAATTGCATATTATTTTTGATAATTATTCAAACATAAATCTATCCTACTAAAATTCATTTTTTCTGTACTAAGAAAATGATTCAAAATCTATCAACATTTCATACATCTGGTATCAATTGACTAATCTCAGTTGCCATTGCTATAACCCATACTATGTCTTGTTGTTTTTTTTTTTGTCTCATTTTTTTATTCCATCCATGTTGATATTTAATGTAAGAAAACATGAACAATTTAATAAATATGTATTTGAAAAGTGAATATGTCCTATATATGTATATATATTCTTAAGCTTCATTGATTTAGATAAGACAGATTTTGCAACTCTCCCTTTTTCTCGATTGTATTGCATAGTACTCTCGTCATCGCCATGAGAAATCCATCACTCTCATCATCATCATCATCATCACAGTACGAGCACATTTGTTTCGTCTCTTTTCTATTCCTCTCGTCTTTATGACTGCTTCTTGCCCGAGAAGCAATTTGCTATAAAGGCAACAGCAATGATAGAATCAATAGACGTAGAGAATGTATGCATCCGTCTGCTCGTATATACAACCATCCAATGCACAGCGTCTAATCTATCAATCGGCCTATATGTGCGTAGAAGGAGAAAGAAAAGGCGCAGCGCAACGCACACACACATACACAACGACACACATAGGCATTCGTCGTCCGTCGACGGGAATAAGCAAGCGAAGAGAGGAAAAGCATTATAACGGCTGCCCTATGCTTTGTGTACGGAGAAAAATGCCGGCGTTCATAGAGCAAAAGAAAGCGAGAGAAAGAAAATAAGAGAAGCAAGAGAGAAGAAGAGAGAAAGAGCAAGCAATGTAAAAGCGCTTGCTTCAGTTGTTGCACAGCACATACACATAAACGTCGACGTTTTTTACATTGAAACTAGCGCCTCGCTAAACAGTTTCTTTCGACTTCTATCGCCCTCTCTTTTTTTACCCGCCAAAGCGAAGTAAGCATAGATATTTTCTTTTGAAAAATCTTTTAATATTACTTTTAATATTAGATCAATTAATAATGCCACGAGCATCAAAACAAAAAGATCCAAATGCACCAAAACGTCCATTATCAGCATTTTTTATTTTTTCACAAGATGAAAGACCAAAAATAAAATCCCAAAATGCTTCATTATCGGTTGCTGATGTTGCTAAAGTTATTGGAGAAAAATGGCGTGCTGCACCTGATGATTTAAAACGTAAATATGAAAAAGCAGCTAAAGAAGCTAAAGAACGTTATGAAATTGAATTACAAGCATACAAGAAAACTGGTATATAAACATAATATTAAATAAATTTTCCCAATAACAAAGTTTTTTTTTTTTTTTGTTGTAGCTGAATATAGTCAATCGAAAGCTCGAGCTTAAAAATATCATCGAGAATGAACATTTCATTTACTCATTTAAATATACACATTGTTCTCTCTTTGTTTTTTTTTTCTCTCATTGTGTAGTATTATTGTTGTTTGTGTGTGTGTGTGTCATTTTTTTTTTGACTGTATTGTACAGATAAATAAATGAATGTTTACTGGGTATTGGATATTATATGCATGCTTTTTTTGTTGTTATAAAATCTATAGATATGTGTTTGTCTATTTTTGCTTTATCTTTAACGAAATAAAATGTTCTATCTTATAGATAGATGAAAAATAAACACGACTAAAAATCGTTCTCATAGTATAATATTTATTTGATCAGTACACATATAATAGTAAATCATAATTTTAAATATATATTTTATCTTCTATTCTATCGAAATGAAAACGTATCATTTTTATTTTCAGAGAAAACAAAAAATGATTTTTTCGATTTTTTTTTTCGATTATCTATATATACAAAAAAATTTTCACAAATTATTATATGAATCATGGTCTTGACTTTGCATTATCATACAAATTGATTGTAATGAATCATTAAAAATAAACTTTTTTTTTTGCAATGAATTGCCGATATTGAGTATATATCAATAATTTAAAACTATATTGTTTTAACAGTCGCTTAGAGAAAATCTATGTTACTGATTCTTCTCTTCCTTATAGAAGAATGCGTTGAAAAACAAAAGAAAGATTACTCTAGAACATATGATTAATAAAAAATATGAAGTTTATTTTGAGATTTTCAATATAATAAATCATACGAAGATGAGTAAGACGAAAATAATGGAATAAAATATTCGATGCCTTTTTTTTTTCAGAACACAAAATTTCATTCTGTATTGTTCGATATTACAGGTGTTTTCAATTACTAAAGCCTCCCATACTTTAAAATTAATCTTAAATCAGTTATATTCAAATTGGATGAATTGGTTTCATTCAAGACATATCGAAGTTGTAGTGAAGAGATTATGCTTAAATTTTTCAACTCAATGCAATGATGTTTTCGGAAGATATTTACACAATAGTTATAAATAGGTCATTTGCTAGCGCTAATTCTCTGTAGACTTTTATTCTATATAATTAATGTTTTGTTGTTTTTTTTTTATTTGAAAGAGCATATAAGAGTTCAATACTTTGAATGGCCATTGATTTGTAGAAGTACAATATCGGTTACAATAAAACCCTTTGAGAATTCTAGAACATGCGATTTAAAATAAGTTTTGTCGCTTTTGTCTAAGAAGATATTTCTTTCAAGTAGAAGATAACGAAAATTTTTTGGAAAAAAATAACATTCCAAAATAAAAAATAATAATATTATTTGTAAACGATCAAACGTTAAACTGTTCTCCCATACATTTATCTTATTTTTAATAATTCTGAAGAAAATTGACTTTCTTTCCGGGAAAACTTGAATAAAAAAAAAAAAATTTGAGTTTTAAAAATGAAGTTAACGATGATATTAACGCACTAAAAAAAAATCAGAAGAGTGTTCAAGTTAAAAAAATTAGAAGGAATAAAAGCTATTTATACTGTCAACGAAGTTCCATGTCACAGTAAACGACTAACGAGGGAACCGTTCGAAGTGATTCAAAGCTTTTAAGCCGATATTTTGCCGATAAGTAGAGTCCAATGAGATTAGAAAAAGCCCAAAAGGACAAGGGCCCATGGGCCTTCCTTCTCNAATACATGAAATCGGATACAGCATCATATAATGATTCTGAATCACTTTGATCAGTTAGATTTTCTTTAATTAAATCGAACAACCAAAAGTCACATGGTGACAAATCTGGAGAATTAGGTGGATGTGGTATTATTGTGAGGCCTTCCGATTCAAGATAATTGGACACATCTTTATGAATATGTGGCCTTCCATTATCGTGGTGGATTTTAATACGACGGGTGTCATATGAGGGTCTTTGACGTTTGACTTGTTCGACAAGTGGTCGTAAACAATTGTTGATGTAATAGTGGTGATCAATCGCTTGTCCCCGTTTCACAGGATGAATGAAAACAGGACCATCTGACTTAAAAAAGATGGAAAATGGGGTTCTTGGAGCAAACCTATCGCGTCGAACTACAGTAGGTGGAGGATCTCCTCTTCTCACCTACGCTGCATTCGATGACTTCCGACCAATTTGTGTATGACAAAACCACGACTCGTCACCAGTTATTACATCACATAGACGCCATGTTCCTTCTTGAAATTTTGCTAAATTTTGTTGGCATATTCGGACTCGTTCAGCCCGTTGAAAATCGGTCAGATCCTTGGATATATAACGAGCGGTAACCTTCTTAAGGTTTAAATGATCGGTGATGATTCGTTGAACGGTGCCATGACTTGAACCAGTTTGCTCTTGCACCTCTTCCATTGTAATGTGAGGATCATCATCGACGAGAAGGCGGATCTGTTCAATATGTGCGGTTCGTACTTTAATATAAAAGCGAAAGTTTTCTTTATTCATCGATAACAAATGAGTAGTCTTAAAGCTGAATCCTTGTTAAGTGATCTGTTGCGAATCGTTTATTAACTCAAAGTGATTACAGGCTTTACATGCGCAAAACTGAACTAGTCGTCTAAAGTGACAGGTATATATACCCGAGCTCAGACACCGACGAATATTCCAGAAGATCATGAGTCAGATCAACGGAGAGAGATGAGATGAGTCCATCAAGAGAGAGAATAGTATAGAATAGAAAAGAAAAAATGCACTTGAATAACCTGAACATACGAAAAGAAAAGAGAGAGAAATATAGCGCGTGTTTTCTAAAAAGAAGAAGAGAAAAATAAAGAAAAACGAAAAGAAAATAAGAAAAGAAAACACACATAGATGATGATATCCACTATTGGTACCAAGTGGAGTTACAAAAAAAACAGTATTATCGAAATTTTATTATTATGATATCAGTTAAATAGTAATCGAATAGCATAGAAAAATAGAGCAAACGACGCTCTATCTGTTCATAAAAAAAGAAAATTTTCTTAAGCGTTCTATACGAAATTAAGATGGGGGCGACACTATTTTTGGTATGCCCTAAGTATGACCAATCGAATCAGCAAAGAAGAAATTGTCACACTACGATTGTATAGTAGTAAGGAAATGATTGATGCATGTTAAGTGGACTTTAATGATGACATCAAAACTAAAGTCAGAAAATACACTAACACATGATCAAAATTCGAATAAAGATATTCATCCAAATATTACTTGTGATGAATGTGAAATGTCGCCAATGAAAGAAGATCGTTATAAATGCTTATTTTGTCCAGATGTTAACTTTTGTCAAGCATGTCAATCTGCTAGTAGAAAATCATTCATTATTATGTATTAAAGATTAAAATGAATATCCAAAATCCTTATACGTACATAATCGAAGCAATATTAATCATAAGAAAATTCAATACAACTCATGTTTCATGAAACCAATTATAGATATTAGGTTACAAATGTGTTTGTGAAATAAATTTATGTGAAAAACGTGAATTCGTGGGCTTAGATGATACAGATCATCGTTACACAAAAATAACTAAACCAGAACGATCCAATTGAAATTGTCAATCAATTAGAACATGTTTAACTTTTATTACGTGTGGATTTCCCTGGTTTTTTGCCTCTATTCTGTATTAATAAACTAAATTTACTTTGCGATATATATTAAACTTGAACTAAGTTAGTATATTGAATGCTCAAGAAATTGTTATTTTCACACACTACCTATGTATACAAGTAGAACAGATATTCTGACTAAAACACTCTATGCCTCCTGTAACTTATATGATAATGTTTCATAGAAGCAACGTGAAGTACTATCAGAACTAATTATCGTTTCATGTATTTGATATATACAATATTGTAACGAAAAACGATTGTGGAGAGTGTAGGTGTGGATAAATAGAACGTTCATAAATTAGTTAACATTCAAGAAGATAATGATCACCGAATGAGACAATAGATTTTGAAACGAATAAGCATGCATTGATTATCTTGAAGACATGATTAAGTAATAATGAAAATCAAATTGAGTTTATTTCAATCTTCATAATATGTAGAATGTGCTTGTATTTCGAAGAAAACTCTTAAGTAAAAATAATTCTATGAAACAATATTCGACAAGTACTATATGAATAATTCTATGATTGAATATTAGTTTACTTTGCAATCACTTTAATTCGATAAAAACTCACATTGAACGTATACTCATCTAATATCTTTCGTTACTTATGTTTTATATAGACAATACAGAATTTCGACCTACAAGCTACATTTTTATTTTAAACTGATTTATTAGCGTCGAGACGATCATAGTTTAACACTTCCTATTTCATCTGGTTTATACCAATGGACTTCATCATCAAGATACTGTGATTTCTGGACAAATATTAGCAAACGTAATAGTGCTCCAGCAAAAAATACACCAACGATAGTCATAGCTAATGTGAGTACGAGCGCAGCTGCTTGATAGACTACTTGAATATTATTTGAACGTTGCAGACCACCTGTGAGATATAAATTAGTTAAATAATCTTGAAAACCTGGTACTCCATATAAGTAATGGACACCGCATGCATCATGTATACGAATAAGTTTCAGTTTAGGTAATACAGCATAAAAACCAATTGTTGATATAAAACCAGCTAACGTACCAATGATCATGGCATCATGTAAACCAATATTTGATGAAGCAACAGTATCTACTGCTACGCCTCTAGGAAGAGTAGAACTTCGCACATGGATCATGTCAAGTTTACCATGTCGAATAAGAGACGATGCTATAAAAGTACCAAGAACAGAAGAACAAATCGACAAATAAGTATTAATCACTGCACGTAGACGTTCGAGACCAGCAGCAGTAGCTTCATTGAATGATGGCCAAAAGCAGAAGAGAAAGATGGTGTCGATCATTGAAAATATGTCCGATGTAAATCGTGCATATCCGAACGGAAAAGTACAAATGCAATGGGCAAACCAAAATAGGCACCTGAAATCCCAATAGAAACATGGTTTTATCCTAACATATCTATAGCAATCTGTCTTCTCGACTCACCAAATACATGAAAAAACATCGATTCACCTTCATCATAGGCACACAAGAATTTTGAACTTATCTATTCGTTGACAACTTGTATCGGTACTTTATAAAATGTCATAGGAATCAATTGAAATACATTGACTTTGCCCAATACTGTACCCATTGAAAACAATATACTCGTGAAAACAAAATCAGCCATTATTAAACTGGTGATATCAAGTACAAATTGTCTTTCGATCATGTTCAAATCGAAAAAATAGTCACACATGAGCAAAGCCCATTCAAATGTAAATGCACAGAGAACAAAATTGAATGCTATCACTGAATAAGAATAACGAAATAAGAAAGTCATTAGAAAACCAAAACCAACAAATATCCTTACATGAATATTGGTAAACATTGTATAGTAATATTCGGCAATACTACGTGGTGGTCCAAGGATGCTCACTTGAGATAATGCTAGATTGTCAGCAAAAGAAGCTGAAGTATAAGCATATCGAGGATGATAACCGAAGAGAAAACAAAACGAGAATTGAATTATGAGAAGAACAATGGTAAGAAGGTATTGAGGGATGATCGGGATTGGTTTTTGTTTTTCGACGAAATAAACAATTGATGTATAGTTTTGGACGCACGAATTTTGTTATAGATGTCTGGAATGAACCAATTCAAAGTGTGTACCACATTCAGTCAATTATTATGTGTGCACAAGGTAGATCTATTTGAATGTCAAACATAATGTTGACTTGCCACAAACCAACTGGTACATACACAAGTGAATAAAAGAAAAAAAAATAGAAATCTTATTAATACTTTATAATTGCTTTCGAATATCAATTCGTAATATGTTCCTTCTCACATCCTTTTATTGCTTGAAATAAGTAAGAAAATCATGAAAAGGGTTTTCTGTGAAGAGATTACTATTTGATGGTTAATGACATGCTTCAATTTCTTTCAATTGAATTCATTTTGCTGAAAAGAACAAGATTTAATTATTTTTGAATTTAGTACAAAAATGAGTTATTTGCTTTTTCAATATTTGATGAATGGGTGATAATTATTATTTTTTGTCTCGATTATTCACCAGTAGAACTAAAACAGTATGTCGAGTAGTTGACTAGCTGATTCAATTAAGTAATAGAAGAAGAATCAACATCTTCTCGCCATTGATATGTATGTCCGTTTTTTATTAGAGCCTTTTCACGTTTCAATAATACAGACAAAACCTTTTCTTAACATAATTTTCTCGTGAATATTGAGAATAGACTATGTTATTTGATGATGAACAGGTGGTAGCTACTACTTGCATATTCTTCGTTTTAGATGTAGGGTACGGATATCGTTACAGAGATGACACATACCCACACTCATATTCACTCAGTGAACTTTGAGTAATCAACACATCCATCATGACATTCACAGGTTTGACATTCTCTGAAATCTTGACAGTTGCTCTGTAGGACAAGGATGTAAAAAATCATATTCATTCACAATTTTAATTAAATTCGATCTTTATGTGATTTCTTTTCGTGTAGTTTAAAAAAACAATCATTTCAGCTAGACATTTGCCCATATTAGTATATCAAACTTAAAAAAAAAATATTCAAAGCCAATTTAAAAAAGCCTATATATTGTTCATCTGCAGGACAAATGGTCAAATACTGATATATACTTTCGTTTAAAATATGAATTCATGTGATTGCAAGAAAAAGAAAATGCTACTCTAAAATCAAAAGGGTTTTTAAATGCGCTAGGGACAAATACCCATGAATATTACGAAAATTTTTATCGTTTCTAAATTTTAGAGAGTTCGGTGTAGAAAAAGCAACAAAAAAAAATAGTATCTGGCGTCTTCGCTCCAGAGTCGATCTTCATGAGTCCAATTTGCGTAGGGATGCGCCAATTTCAATTCCTAGAATTGGTCGGAAATGGTTGGAATTGGAATTGGAATTGGAATTGGTCGGGATTGGTCTGAAAGAAATTGTTAACCGACCGATAATTTGTCGAAATATGTGTAAAATCATTGTTTTACAAGAACCAATTCTGACTAATTTCAACTCCAACCAATTCCAATTCCAAACCAAGTTCAATTCCAATTCAAACCAATTCCAAGTCAAAAATTGGAATTGGAATTGGTGCATCCCTAAATCTAAGTCGATGATCGATGAACAATCAAAACTAAAATTGCATTGATCATAGAGTTCTTGCTTTTATTTCCTGCCGCAAAATGACTGATTGATAGGCTGCTAGCTAATAACATTCTTTTGTTCGATTAGATACTCGAAATAAGTTTATTGAAATCATCGGTGACGAGCTTGACCTATTCAGACGATATTATTATCGATAAAGAAGAATACCACAATATGCTTTACCTTTTTATGTTTATTCGCCCACTGTTGATGTGCAGCTATATTTCCGCAATAAACATAGATCGAAGAAACTTGATCAAATTGATGAACATTAGGGACTATCTTTGCACCCAGTCCACCACTGACAATCAGAACGAGGGAACTTTCGGATCGTTGGATAAATCTCTGACATTCGTCTATATCCGTCAATGGCCAAACGTGAGAAAATTTAGCTGCTAGTTGTTCTTGTGCCTTTTTATTTTCAGCATTGTACACTTTAGCATCGAGCCAAACAACCGTGCATTTATCACCGCCTGAATGTACACCAGCCATGATTGTCTGTTGAAAGAACGAATAATTTTTACTATAAAATGATGTGGCGATTGCGTTGTGTTGAAAAATGTGCAACACTGCAAAGAAAAAAAAAATCTTTCTTTCTCTTACTGAAATCGTTAAACACGCATGTAATGACTGTAAGAAAGGGTTGAAGAAAAAGGAAAAAACCCAGCATGCAGATAGGCATGTTTTGATAGACACTCGCAAAATGCTTCGTTCTGTTAGAGAATTCACTGTAGTTTATAAAAGGTGGTGATGAATGAATTTTTGCAGAACGATAGCTTGCGTGTGTAAATAGGATGAATAATCGAGTGTCATGTGCAATATGTTTTCAATTTCAAACCCAATGATCTTGTCTAATCTCGTCTTCTTTTATCAAATACACCCTGCAGAAAATAATCGATTAAACCTGTTCTAGTATATCAAATTTGTCGTTTTTCCGTATAAAGACAGTAGTAATAAGAATGTTCAAATATACATAATTAAGGTTGAATCTAGTATGAATACAGAGTGGTCTGTTTGACAATAAAACTCAAGTGCCTTACCTGTTTTGTGATCAGTAATAATGAAAAATAGGCTAGCGAACACATTGTCGTATGACAGCCGACTGCAAAAAAGATGTTTCAGATAAAAATAAAAAACCTGATGGCTTAATGACATCGATGAGTTCGAAGAACCAACAACGAATCCTTGTCCAAGTGAATAGTTTCAATACATGCGAGCTTTCACGAGATTTGATATGCTTTGGAATCTCATTTGAGCAGGCTCCTTTAAGCATTCTACATCGCAACATGACTCGAATAGATGGGATGTGGGTGTGAGTGTGGGTACAATACAGTTGAGTATAGATTACAAATTCATATAAACGTATGAATTTATAATCAAAACAAGACCAGCGAAAGATCCTTGGAAACGTTTTGTGTACGGATGTCGCTGTTGTTTTTTGTTTTTTCTTTATGGGACTTTAATATCATTTCGACTTTCTAGATAAAGAACAAAACATGTTTGTTCTAGAGAGAAGATTCAGGCTTACTTGATAGTTATGAGAAATCAAGATTAGACGTATTATTTACAGTAAAGACATTCTCGATTTGTATCTACTAAAAATATTGTGAACATTGGCAATAATAACCTTGCAGAAAGATATAAAGAATCGTACATATTGTAGATGTCGTGCTAGAAAGCGAAGAAGCAATGCAGTAGTGTGCAATGTTAGCGACGAATGTTATATTAATAAACAGTTGACTGGCACTATGCCAGTTATTCTTATTGTAGGTGCTCATTTTTATATATCTGGTGCGGATCAATGCAAATTGACTCGTATATGCAATATGAGATGTAGTCTATTGGCCGAAATTCTTGATTTTATCATATTGATGCTCAGCATATGTAAAGCAAAAATGATGTTTTTGCATTGATATTGCTTTAAAATTATAAGTGAAATATGACTGTTTACAGTTGTAGTAGCTATATCTGCGATCGAATATTCATCCTGACATCAGATCAGATCCAGACCTGTTATTATCAGTGTTATCGAGTACTCGAACGATCAGAGTTATCGTCTGATCAAGAACGAATCATCCATACACTTGAACACATTTAACAACAATTATTTTTGGAATATATTTAACTCTTTTTTTATAGCGAACACTTTTGAAAATTTCAAAGGGTATCTTGTATAGGGGAAATTTTATTGCACAGACAACGCGTTGTTGTCAAAATGTATTCGTTTAATAGAGCGTAAGTCAAAAAAAAAGAAACACTAAGCATCACTAATCGAATACAACACAGTTTTTTTCTTTAAATCAAATAACGAATGGTACAATGTTTCATGATAGCTCAATTTTATTTCAATACTTTTATCGAAGAAAATCATAGCCTGTATAAATATAATTTTTTTTGTTCATAATTAAGTACAATTTATAGCCAGTTGAATTGAGAAAGAAAGAAAATGTTTTAGTCGGCTTCACTGCTATTATTATCATTACTCCAGAAATTTGCACTGATTTGCTTGAAGAGACGAGTAGCTATGTTCTGATATTCTTGTTGTTGACGTTGTGTTTGCATATCAGCATTTCGTGCAGCTGCAAGACCTTTGAAATATTGTGTACAATTTGACGAGAGCAGAGCTGCATTGGTATCACTTTCTATGTAACCTATTTCCTGTGTTTTTTGTTGAAGAACTTGTGCAAAAGAGCCATTTGAGTTCAATTGTGTGATAAGTGCTCGAGTTTGATTAAGAAACGATTGAGCTAAACTGCTATTGGCACATAATTTTGATGCCCATCGATTGATATCATCACCCGACGAAAAACGATCACCACCATCGTTGTGATGTTCTCCACCGAAGTGTCTCCGAGCCGCGACAAGACCAAAGCATATCTAAAATAAAAGGACTGGCAATGATGATGCTAACATGAATCAAATTCAAACCAACTTACAAACGCAATCAAGATGACAAGTTTGTTCATGTTTGTGTGTTAGATTTTTGTATATTAAACATAAGATTTTTTCTCACCTATTTATATGTGTGTTTCAATATTAGAAGACAAGAAAGGACAAAAAAGAAAAAGAATGCACTTTTTATTTGATTATTGGACTCGGTACGAACAAGACCAGTGAATGACACATAGACAAAGAGAATGGTACTATTACTCATTCCTGTTCGTTTAGCGTTACTTTATGTCAGGACTCCGAAAAAAAAAGTTATAAATAAAATTAATGAAATGCACTCAGTTAAACATCTCAATTGCTATTTTACACTCGCGCGCCTTCTTCAACGCGGACTGACGCCATTACTTTCATGAATGGACCAGGTATTATATCGATCTAGGAGCACAATCTAGCTTTCATCATTTTCCAGTCAAATATATGTATAAAATATTGTCGTGTCATGCGAAAAGTTAAAGCTGTCATCTCGATTTTTATTCCGATTATTATTCATATGATTCATCTTGAATAATGAATCAAACTGACGCGACCATGCTTAGTAGAATTCTTGAAAAAAAACGATTTATCTTTGTTGAAAATTGCAAAGTACAATGAATAAGAGCGATATCTCGACTGATTAGTGTTAAGTACACTTAAATCATATTTTTTGTATTTTATCTCAAAATATGAAGATTTTATTTATAAGAGATGATTAGAAAATGTCACGCATTGATTGTTGAAATGATTCATACGATATTGATGCATACACATTGTTAATGATGGCATTGGTAGCTGCCCAATGATCTTCATCAGTTCTTTTCTATTAAAATTGACGTGAGTGCTGATCAATAGTTAAATCATTCTGAAATATGTAAGGTTTTTCGGGTGGGTGTGGGTGTGGGTGTGGATGTTGGTCTTCTATTCACCCACATCCACACACCCTCAAGATAACGAGACATCAAATGATGTTTATGAATGTAATGAAGAAGATTGTACTGCTCAATTTCTAACATTCGAAAAATATCTTTGCCATACAATGTTTGGAAAATACAAACGTTTGCTTTAAAGACATTGCTTGACTGATACACCTGCTCTTATGTTCAAATCAAAGCTTGAACGAATAGAAAATTGAGAACTTGTTTCTTTGCAACTTGAACTTGAACTTTCAAAAGAACAATCACGAAGAAATCATCTGCCTGTCCTTTCTGAGGACTGGGCTATAGCATCAGATCAACAACCAGTTCGACTTACAAATAAGCAAATTCAATATCTAAATGATAAATTCGATGATGGAATAAGACGAAAAATGAGATGGAAACCAGAAACGGTTTCAAATGATACATACAATCTTAAAGTGGAAGGCAGATTCCATTCCTCAATCAATGAAGTTATGAAACCATCTCAAATTCGATGTTATTTTGGTCAAAATGCGTCAAAAAGAAAAAATCTTTTCGATGAATCAGTTGAAGAGGAAACTAATGAACAAGAAATATTGAAAGATGAGCAAGCTTTCGATGAAAAAGAACTCAAAGAAAAAATACGAAAAAGTTCCATAATTCTATGATGAAACTTACATCGATAATTCATCTAAAAAAGAACTGTCTCAACTGAAGAGATACAAGTGTCCGAAAGAGCTTCATTTCGATCGAAAACTAAAAAATAATTAGAAGCAGAAAAAATGAATAAAAATAAATTTAATAAAAAATGATAAAAAAAAGTATAAGGAAAAACTAAACAAAATAATTAAAAAAAACCTGTTCGCTGTAGGACGGGCTCTACGTGCCGAAGAGGATAAACATTCCATTTCTCTTATAAAAGAGAACAACGGCTAGCAGTCCTACTTTACCATTATTTCTATATTGCATAACTGATTGAACAATATCTTTTTTTGAAAAAAGCTTTCGAAAATAACACAAATATTGCTGATGTTTGTGAGCACGGAATATTTTCTAGAAAATGAATGGAAATACTCATCCATCGACTCAGCTTTTTAAACTGATTACGAATATATGCTTTTCTTTACATTTTGGTTGTGATGGAAAGAAAAACAAATGCTTTTCGTACTATTTTCTCTCAAAATCATATTTGAACCTCTTTGACTGACAAGCCATTTTTGAACACGACATGCATTTATTTTTCAAGAACTTGTATTTTTATCTTGTGCAATATTGCGAGAGCTACAAAATACATGTAGTTTTATAACATTTTCGGCCTTTCGAAGTGCCAAAATCTTTGAAATGGTACAAAATTTCGAAATTTTTAAGAGAGGGTCCATGAGAAAATCGAACATTTTTCCATAGGGTCATACTCTCAAAAATTTTGACCCCTATTTTTTATGATTGGAAATGAAAGAGCAAAGTGAGAAACCTACAAACCTAAAATTTCAGCTCATTCTAACTTACCATTGAAAAGTTATGAAATAGAAACTGAAGGCACCCTCAATCGATTCTGAAAAAAAAATTTGTTTTTTGAAAAATCTAGTAAGTCAGTATTTCCTCATTTTTTCTATACTGAATTTTCACAATCTTTTGAAGCAATATACCATTTGATAGAGAAAATTCTCCTCTACAAAACTACATATTTCATTTTCTTATTATCCTCTATTTTGTAGATACAACAATCACAAAACTAAATCATCTCTACTGTATTTTTTCACATTTTTGTCTTGTTATTTTTTCATTGCACNCCTCATAGCATCCTATCTCTAACTTTTTCTGTCTGTTATCATCTGACTGTGAATATGCCTAAATGGATCAGGTAACAGCATAAACTTCCTATTGACCAGAAGACAAGAGGCTGACTCCTATATCTATACTGCTTTTGACAGGAGTTTTGACACAAAACTAACAAATGCCGAATGAAAAGAGAATAGGGTGTGGGTGTGAGTGTGGGTATGAGTAATCTTTCCTCACACCCACACCCACACCCTAAAAATTTTCTTTTATATTATCATCAATTGAGTCGACACGCAGAGTTTCTCTTAATTGAAGTTCAAAATCTGATAGATATTTATCTTCAAGTAAATCATCATCTATACAATAATTAAACAATTTGAATATTATTATTTTTTTTATATCAAACACGATCGAAAAGGAATGTTCAACTCGAAATAGCTACAAAATTTGTGACTCTCTCCAAACATGTGACAAACATCTTACTCATTAATAAGTAATTAATGGATAGTTTGAGAGTAAATGTGTGCAGAACTCACATTTTGTCGTTCCAGTCCCGATGCTCAGAACTGGAACTAGTCCCATACATCTGTATTTGAGAGTGATTATTGATTTCATAAATAATAGTTAACCCTGAAATGCCTACCAGCGATCCACTTGGATCCCAACTAATTTCATTCTAGTGTTATACACACACAACGTCAGACATGCTCTAATGAAGTGTATTAGAGCATTTTAATAACGTCACTCGTTCATTATTATTTGTTGTTTGTGTGAATAAATATGTCCAAGTAAACATTCAACGCTTATTGCCCAGCTGGGATCCGCTCGGATCTCACATTCTCTTTCTAAATTTGGCTTATTTTTCAGGAATATAGTTTTAACTCTATGCTTCATAACTCTCTATTTGCTTAAAAACATTCCAGAAGTTTCTAGTGAGGTCTAGAGCATGTAAAAGATTTTAGAACATTTGATGTTGAATATTGAAATAGTTTTCAAAAAATTCCATTACTTTCTGGAACACCATCTTTATCATATAAATAACAAATTGTCACCATCATTAATGGATTATTTTGTTCAAATTATGTTTCGTTTTCTCATCTCTTCCTATATTTCTAATATTTCGACGAAAAATAAATCAGATGAGTGAAAAGATAAATTAGAGAACGATACAGAAGAATCTGAAGTGCCTGATGATGTTCACGACAACTCTAATGATTCACAGGATGATACTGTAACTGAACAATATTCAAGCGATAAGTCTGAGACAAGTCAAGTGAGAACTGAAAGTAGCAATAATGAAGAGCTGTTGCTACAGACTGTAGCGAACTCATACAGCGTAACACTTATTATGTACATTATATCTATTTTACTAGCATGGAGTTCGCACGTATTCTAGATGAGCAACAAGTGATAGTTCGAAAGGTAGACGTTTCATGATTAATTACTAATAAAATATTCGTCAGAGATTGTGACAGAAACGTTAAATATCCGTGAAAAAAACACCTCTGAGGATCAATAATTGCCTGTAAAAGATTCGACGAATATAAGATCAAAAATAACGTTTCAATAGTGTTTTAGTACATTATGAAAAATAATTCTTGGTTTTACTTTTCAAATAATCAATAAAACGATATTTTGAAAATGTACTTCGACATAGATTGATTTTTTTAAATTCCTTGGTATAATTGAAGAGAACTACATCATGTTTCATATTTTAATACGATTTGGGATTTCGTTAACAGCTTTATATATATATATATTGAATATATTAAAAAAAAGCTAAAGTAACAAACCTTCACGTTGAATTTTTAAACTAATTTGTTTTAAAACAAATTGAATTGTTTTAAATGATTGTTTTTTCCATTGATCAACTGTTATATTTTTAATCATATGTAATGCTGACATGTGACATGATGATTCAATATAATCATAAAAAAGAATTTCAATAACATTATTTAAAATAAGTTTTTCAATAAGTAATGAATTATTTGAATGTGAATAAATATAATTAATTGCATCTGATAAAGTGTCACCTAATGATCGACGATATACATTAATTGTTGTTAAACGATGAATTTGTTTTAATGCACGTATTAATAGTTTATCATCAGAACAATTAACAACTAATGACGATAAAATATTATTTATAAAAAATGAAAATTCCTAAAACATTATTAAAAATAAAATTTTTTTTTTAAATATTATAAATACTAACATATGCTGCTAAATCATTTTCAGCTTTTTCTTCTAAATCTTTATCTGGTTTAGCATTTTCTAAATGATATTGTCCATTAGCTTTAATACGTAATAATTCAACATCAGGCATTTCATATAACATAAGATCTACTAATAAAGGATCAGATATTAATAATTCCTAAAAATAATATTTTAATTATTATATCATTTGTATAATATCTAACATATATTTATTTATTCGTTGTAAAATTTTTGTTAAACACAATCCGAAATAATGGTTGAACTATATAGGATAGATATTTGCACTTATCCTTTCATCAAACTGTGACAAACAAATTAATCAATTAACTATTTAGTAAAATAATGACAAAAATTAATTCCGATAATATATGATTAAAATCTCACAAGAATATATCAATTATTTGATGATTGTCGTTATAGAGAATTAAATAAAAAAAATTGAATAAATGAATTCCAAACTATACAAGTAGCATTCGTCAATTCTTGACTCACTGAATCCTAGACTTAGAGGAAGCAGATATGCACACCACTGCTTCCTGATCCTAAATGTACTCTTCCAAAAGTATTAAATAAACTCGCCAGATTACTTCATGTGAAACAGGAACCATTTCAACAAACTGGTTTTTCGTAATTAAAAACTTGAATTTTACGTTTTAAACGAGAAATCGACCTTTAATATTCTAGCCCTTTTGTTATATTTACACTCTCTCCTTTCAATCTAGAGAATAGAATAAAACAACAACTACATCATGACTCATATTTCAATCTTACAATGATTGAGACAACAGGTTTTTTAAAATTTCTTATAATACAAAAAAAAACATTCATGATGATGAATTTATTTATATAAAAATAAATTTAATTAAATAATGATGCGATTTTCACAATCACTTATAATCAATTGAATACATAAAAATAATTCCTCATCGAATATTTCAACGATTTAAATTTGATACAAATCTTGCTTCTTATCACAAACAATTTTTACATCATTCATAGTCTATTGAAAAAAAATATATATATAGACTTTTACAATAAAAAGGAGTCAGCTAACTTTTATTGTTGAAAGTAGTACTGTTGTTTTCATTTAGAAATGAGGATGTGGGTGTGGGGTGGGGGTGGGGGGGTGAGTGTGGGTGGAGGTGGGTGTGGGGTGTGGGTGTGAGTGGCTGTGGGACGGGGTGTGAGGGGGGGATGTGTTCTTAACTGATCCACACCCACACCCACACTCACACCCACCCACACCCACACCCACACCCACACCCACACCCACACTCACACCCACCCACACCCACACCCACACCCACACCCTTTCAAAAAATAAATTGGTATTTCAATGTTAAAATTAATATTTAATAATAAATGTAATTCAATTTAAATGGGATTTTTATAATAAATAAATTTGAAAAAAAATTTGTATCAAACATTTAAAGAGTTTTATTTATAAATATATTATGTTCTTTTATTTTGCTTTTTTATTCATCTGTGTAGATGTNTTTTTGTTGGTCCTGGCCAACTCGAGCATTTAGATCACCCATTATAATGATCATATCTTTTGTAGATACATCTTTTAATGTATCTTGTAAATCGTTATAGAATTTATCACATTCATCACCCATTTCTTTCGTCAGAGGATTAATAGGAGAGTAGACTGCAATTACAGTAATGTGAATTGGTGCACAATACAATCGAATTTTAATAATTCGTTCGCTTATTGGTACCCATTCGCTCCATGAATTCTTCCAAATCTTTGTGGCAGTCTAATCCAGACAGACTGACACGCCATGAGCTTTTCGTGTTTTCGTTTCATGTGGTGCACCTGAATAGATCATCGTATAGTCCCTTACTGATTTTATACCGGAATCGTACATACACGTTTCACTTAGTGCAGCTATTTGAATTCGATACTTTTTTAATTGTTTAATTATTATTTCTTTTTCTGATTGTTTTACACAGGATCTAACGTTCCATCCGCCAAAGAAGACATAATTTTGTGCATTTACGCACCGATAATGTTTCTTTTCGTTAGCAATAATAGTTTTGTGTCCAGCTAGAGGTTGCTAGTCTCATGACTGGACGAGTGATTACCAGCAGCCCAGGGTCGCCTCCTACAACTATCCAAGGAAGGTCATAGGTCCCTGTGAAAGTTAAGAAACTTTCCTGGCAGGCGGCTGCTATTAATTAAATAATAGGATAGATTGAAATTTCAAGTATTTTTATATTCGGTAAATGAAAATTAAATATTTCTTCTTATATAATAATCTAGTATCTGTTTTGATCTCTAGGAAAGATTAAGTTTTGTCCTCCTTATTCTCCTATGCTTTCTTCAAGATTTTTATTTGATGCTAATCGTGAAAAGCAATAAATTTATTTGTCTTCTATTATTGTTTGGTTTATTGAGGAAGTGTATCATTTCCAAGAAACACCCATCTATTAATCTAATTTCTTGGAGTCTTCCAACAGTCATTCAATAATAGTCACTTAATAAACTTAAAATTAAAACATCTCATTATTTACAGTCTACGGACTTTTTTCAACTAATTTTGATATTTCCAATAAGTATCTAAAATATCCATATAAAGAGAACGTTATTCAAATGAGATCGTCTTACATATTGTAGAAAGATTTCAATTGATCACAGTAAGTTATTATCTGTTTCCATATGCAAATCTTTCCCTCTATATCGGTACAAATATACAAATTTGATTTTTTTTAGTTAAAAATATTCTTGATCTTTTATAACTAGATTTTATAATTGAGAGAATATTATTAAAATAAATAATTTTTTAAATTTATTATTATCAGATAAAAGAAATTTAATTTAAAGAAATAAAATTTTAACTTTTACAACCTTACTTGTTTTAATTAGTTGAATATAGGTGATAATCAACAAAACATGGATTGTCGAAACAGCTCATCGTGTTGCCGAAATGTTACGAGAGGAACTTGAAAAAGAATATCTTTGTTCACAAGAGGCACAACAAGAGGTTAATAACAATAATTCAAGTCAACAATCTGAAGGAAGCTAATTCTGATTTATAACCTTTAATCATCTTTTGTAAAAATGCATTGATTTTCAACAATTATTTACATAATTGCATAGTTATTTTTTCATTTAAGAATTATTTGTAAATTTACTGAAATATTATGTAAAATAAGTTTTCTTTTAAATATTATCCAATTTTTATTGAAATCATTTCAATTAATATCTGCACTAAACAATCTCTTCAATAATAATTCATTTTTACTTCAAAACAATTGTTTATTATTTTTCTAATTGTTAAATATTGTTAGAAAAGATCTGAATTTTTGTTTATTTTTATTTTGAAGACGTTTGTTTCTTTATTTTTACTTGTTGTCTAAATAATAATGATATCATTGATTTTAAAATACTTTTTGTTTTTGATCTTAAAACCGTTTTATCTTCAAAAACAAAAGATGAAGTAAGTGAAGGTGACCAATTCCATCAACATCAACACAGTTTACATCAATTGAAACTTAAAAACTGCAATAATTAATAAAATTAATACAATCATCAAACAAAACAAAATATTTAAATGATTTATTCTTTAATCTCTTTATTTGTTTGATTAAATGTTGAAAACAAAAAACAAAATATCGAATCTTGATTAAGAAATAAATCTAAAACAACAAAACAGTTAATTATTGATGATTATTTGAAATATGATGATCGATTTGTTTAACAAATAGTTGACGAGTTGAATAATCAAATTTTAACCATTCTGTTATTATTGATGTGAAACCACTAAGTAAATATGAAATATTATATCTATATTGTTCATAATTAAATGTTTTAAACCACATTTCATTTATAAATAAATATAATGGATCATATAAAGATCGTTCGATAAATTGTTTATCACCAAAAGCCATATAAATTTTTGTTAAAACATTTATAATTATATTAAAATTTTCTTTTATATTATCATCAATTGAGTCGACCTCCAGAGTTTTTCTTAATTTAAGTTCAAAGCCTGATAGATGTATATCTTCAAGTAAATCACTATCTATACAATAATTAAACAATTTAAATATTATTATTTTTTTTGTCAAACACGATCGAAAAGGAATGTTCAACTCTATATGGTTACAAAATTCGTGAGTCTCTCCATACATGTGACAGACATTTTATTCATTAATTAATAATTAATGGATAGTTTGATAGTAGACATGTGCATGGCTAACATTTTTTGGTTCTGGTCTTGATGCTCAGGATTGGAACTGATCCCATGCATCTTTATTTGAGAGTGATTTCTGACTTCATAAATAATAGTTAACCCTGAAACGCCTACCAGGAATCCACTTGAATCCCAACTAATTTTATTCTAGTGTTATACACACACAACGGCAGATAAAATCAAGCCTCTCTAAATATGCTCTAATGAAGTGTACTAGAGTATTCTAATAACGTTAGTCGTTCATCATTATTTATTGTTTATGTGAATAAATATGTCCAAGTAAACATTTAACGCTTATTGCCCAGTTGGGGTTCGCTCGGACCTCACACCCTCTATCTAAATTTGGCTTATTTTTCAAGCATAGATTTGTAACTCTATGCTTCATAACTCTCTATTTGCTTGAGAACATTCCAGAAGTTTCTAGTGAGGTCTAGAGCATGAAAAATATTTTTGGAACGTTTGATGTTGAATATTGAAGTAGTTTTCAAAAAAATTCTATTACTTTCTGGAACATTATCTTTATCATATAAATAGAAAATTGTCACCATCAGTAATCCATTATTTTGTTCAAATTATGTTTCATTTTCTCATTCCTTCTTATATTTTCTAATTTATCATCGTTCTATTTGTTCATCAACAATTGTATTTACACAAACATTTCTAAGCAAGAAAATGTCCTCCATCAAACGATTTGATTTTAATCGACCAAAACATTTGTAAGAATACAGCGAATATTTCGATGAAAAAAAAAATCAGATGAATGAGAAGATAAATTGGAGAACGATACAGAAGGATCTGAAATGCCTGATGATTCCGAGGATGATACTGTAACTGGACAATATTCGAGCGATGAATCTGAGACAAGTCAAGTGAGAACTGAAAGTAGCAATGATGAAGACCTGCTACACATTGTAGAAAACTCATATAGCGCAACACTTATTATGTACATTATATCTATTTTACTAGCATGTAGTCCACACGGATTCCAGGTGAGTAATAGGTGATAGTTCAAAAGGTAGGCATTTTAGGATTAATTAGTAATAAAATATTCGTCAGAGATTGTGAAAGAAATGTCTAACACCCGTGACAAACACCTTGAGAATCAATAATTGTCTGTGAAAGATAACGTTTTAGTACATTATGGAAAATAATTCTTGGTTTTACTTTTCAAATAATCAATAAAACGATATTTTGAAAATGTACTTTAATTAACATAGATTGATTTTTTAAAATTCCTTGGCATAATTGAAGAGAACTACATTATGTTTCATATTTTCATACGATAGAAATTTCGCTAACAGCTTTTTTTATATACGTATACATATTGAATATATTAAAAAAAAACTAAAGTAACAAACCTTCACGTTGAATTTTTAAACTAATTTGTTTTAAAATAAATTGAATTGTTTTAAATGATTGTTTTCTCCATTGATCAACTGTTATATTTTTAATCATATGTAATGCTGACCTGGGACATGATGATTCAATATAATCATAAAAAAGAATTTCAATAACATTATTTAAAATAATTTTTTCAATAAGAAATGAATTATTTGAATGTGAATAAATATAATTAATTGCATTTGATAAAGCATCACCTAACGATCGACGATATAAATCAATTGTTGTTAAACGATGAATTTGTTTTAATGCACGTATTGATAGTTTTTCATCAGAACAATTAACAACTAATGATGATAAAATATTATTTACAAAAAATGAAAATTCCTAAAAAAATTATTAAAAATAAAAATAAAAAATAAAAAATATTATAAATATTAACATATGCTGCTAAATCATTTCCAGCTTTTTCTTCTAAATCTTTATCTCGTTTATCATTTTCTAAATAATATTGTTCATTAGCTTTAATACGTAATAATCCAACATCAGGCATTTCATTTAATATAAGATCTTCTAATAAAGGATCAGACATTAATAATTCCTAAAAACAATATTTTAATTATTATATCATTTATTTAATATCTAACATATATTTATCTATTCGTTGTAATTTTTTTTGTTAAACACAATCCGAAATAAGTGTTGAAATATATAGGATAGATATTTACACTTATCCCTTCATCAAATTGTGACAAACAAATTAATCAATTAATTCTTTAGTAAAAGAATGACAAAAATTAATTTATCTCTAATTAATATTTCGTTATAAAATCATTAATAATCAATCATAGATCGCGAGAGACGTTTGAATACACATATTTGCGATAATATATGATTAAAATCTTACGAGAATATATCAATTTTTTTGTTATTGTCGTTATAGAGAATTGAGTAAAAATTCTTGAATAAATGAATTCCAAACTATACAAGTAACATTCGTCGATACTCAATTTACTTAACCCTAGACTGAAAGGAGGCAAATATGCATACCACTGCTTCTTGATTCGAAATATACTCTTCTAATAGTACTAAATGAACTCGCCAGAATACTTCATGTGAAGCAGCAACCATTTCAACAAATTGGGTTTTCGTAATTAAAAACTTGAATTTTATGTTTTAAGCGAGAAATCGACCTTTATTATTCTAGCTCTTTTGTCATATTTACACTCTATCCTTTCAGTCTAGAGAATAGAATAAAACAACAACTACATCGTGATTCATATTTGAATCCTACAACGATTGAGATAACAGATTTTTTAAAATTTATATTACAATATAAAAAAAAATATTCATTATGATGAATTTATTTATATAAAAAAAATGAATTAAATAATTTTTCGATTTTCACAATCACTTGTAATTAATTGAATAAATTAAAATAATTCTTTATTATGGTTATTTTTTTGGCTCTTCAAATAATGTTAAGATCTTAGAGAAAAAATGAATTTTTATTAAATCAAAATAATTTTTCATCGAATATTTCAAGGATTTAAATTTGATACAGATTATATACAAATCTTGCTCATTATCATAAACAATTTTTACGTCATTCATAGTCTACTGAAAAAAAAAAAGAATATATATATATAGACTTTCACTATAAAAAGGAATCAGTTAACTTTTGTTGTTGAAAGTGATTCTGTTTTGTTTTAGAAATGATTTCATGTGACTATATTAAATGAATTTTTTCGAAGAAATATTTTCTTATAAATTCTCATTATATGATTAATTTTTAATATAAATAGAATCTAGTTTGACAAGAAATGAGTTTTAAACANGCCTGTAGTCTGTTCGGTATTACTGTACTATAATGATAGTTTTTAAATATATATTTCTATGCAAGATATCTATACATAATATGTAGCATTTTACTATAATAAAAAGGCATACGAAATGTTGCCTGAAATCTAATGAAAATAAATAAGTTGAGTCGTCAATAAAAGAAAAAACGCATTATTTTTTTTAACGTTCCCGGTACGGATTGAAACTTTGTATAGCCATTTTCAATGGTAAACCACAGTAAACAGATGGTCAAAGAAATAAATAGTTGTTTAAATATTAATATATCGCCATAATAGCATAGGTGATCAGAAATGGTTAACCATCGATTTATCTTTGTTTTGAGTCACGTGGCCAGGTACTAGATAAAAATTTATTCCTGTTATTTCAATCACGGATTAAAAATTTAGACAACCAAAAAATTCATGTCGTTTTCTTTCTGGATGATTTCTCATATAAGAAGCACTATGAAATCGTTTCATGATTAAAATAAACGACGAGTCTATAGCATATGATGATTAGTTTCTTTTCAAAGATTTGATTGTTGTTGTATCGTCGATGATAGCAAGGCTCATCACTGGTTTATGGCGTTCATCGCGTGATTCGACTCCGTGAAAGCCTCCAGCTACGTAGCATGTTTTCGATTGATTAGTCACTTTATTTCTTACATCAATAGGTACGTGAAGGGAATTAAGTTTTATTTGTTTGATCTCACAACTACGCTTTGTGTGTAATCTGTAGCATAAACGAAGAAACCATCCACTCACGTATGTTCCCGGCATTCTGAAAATGTAAAGAAAAAGTCAGTGCATATTTATCTTTTTCTTCATGTTCATTTAGTGAATTGAACTTTTATGAGATAAACGAAAAAATCTAGGATTCCTCCAGATGGTCAATTTCTTTTTAGCTCACTTCAACTTGTCGGCAGACTCGTTTAGCAGTGAGCAGCTAACAATTCAAGACAGCTAATATTTCTTTCATGAATACAATCTGAAATCTCTGCATCATCATTAAGCAGAAAGTAGAGTAGCTATATATTATCATCTTATGTTAATAAAGACAAGACAGAGAACTAGAACGACAGTATATGCAACACATTATGCTTCTGTTCCACTAAGCTTTTTCAATCTACATAGTAGAAATAAAAAATGCGCTTTGTATCTGCAAACTGCTAAAAAATGTTGTTGTAAGCCGATCAGATCCAAACTTAATTGGGTTTCTTTTACCGATGTCTCATGCTAAATACTCACCTGCCTGATCCTCCACGACCAACATGCTCAACATCCATGACCTTGTTCCAGAATTGATTATCGACATTGTCTTGATAAGTCTGAATAAATTGATCAATTATGGGTAATAGACCATCGATATAACTTCCGAAATCATCCCGATTTGGTACAGTAAAATTCTTGAGTTTTGTAGTTTTATAACGTAGAAGCTTCCAATCTTCCGATGTGCCCATAAAGTGAACATTGCGTATACCACACATAGTCACATAAGATTTATATTTAAAGTACTTTTGAAATGTATCCATGATGACTGTGCATGAAAGGAGTGATTCAATTTGGGTTGTTGTCGAAAAATTGGATGTTAATAGTTGCGTAACACTGTTTTTCACATTCTGACCGATCTCTACTCGCAAACACTCAAGAAAATCATTCCAACTAAAAAAAAATAACGAATATTTTAATATTAATTTCTTTCAAAATACAACACCTCACTCGGGTTCAGCCGTGTCTGTTTGTATGATAGTCAACGCTTTTCGATCACTATTTCCAACAAAAAGTGTTCGGAGGTGTTCGGCATTCTCGTTCACATATTGTGAAAAATAGATGCAAATCATAAGCCAAATGTCATCTGGAGATAAAACAATATCCTCATGTGAATTGTAAGCAAAAAGAAAAGCCGAGAATATTGCATGATTCTCATTTAACGATGTATCTTAATATTAGAAGATCTATGTCAATAAAAAAAAAGAACACAATATCGTGTTTCTCACAAGCGCCATTCGCAACGATATGTTGGACTTTATAACGTTCTTTGTCGGCCTTGTTATCGATCTTGTTTATCCAGTAGTCCATAGGTGGAATATCTTTGATGGTTTCTTCTGTATAATATTTGTCGTTCTTTGGAAGATCTGCACAAATAACCACTGTATGGTAGTTAGAAGAGATATCATTGTTGATTAAAGTCGAAGTAGCTGTTGCCATTCTTTTATGCGTCAATGTTTTTAATAATCTACAAAATAGTCACTTGTGTTGAGCACGAAAAGATAAAAAAACACTTGATTATTGTGTAAAAACTAATAAAAAAAAGAGTAAAAAATAAATGCTTACGTCACAACTATGACGGTGAGTATTTCATAACTTTTAGGTGGAGTTGATTCACATAGTAACTGAGACAACATAAGAATAAGAAAGAAAATGTGGAGTAGTCATTACGAAATATGTAACTATGTACAAAGTACATGGAAGAATTGTAATTTCTCGTGTAAAAAATATAACGCTTTCATCGATCTTCTATACGTAAATTGAAACACGTACGCCCTTCGAATAACAGAAAATAATTTAGTTTATATGAGAAACTTGTTGTTCATGATTTTATAAACTATTTTTCAGAAAAATGTATCTAAAACAGAAAGTCTATTTTGGTAATTATAATATTTTGTTAGTTTTTTTTAGCTCTGTCAACTTGAGTGATTCAATTATGATTTTATAAAATTGAATTAGAGCACAACAAGAAAACTCATATCCTTTGAGAAATTATGTAGAGAAACATCCTGGTTGCTCGTCAAAAATGGTTAAAACTAATTCGACTACGACTTGATTTATATTAGGATGTTTATTTTTGCTCTTCATTGTCTAGAGAATAGAAGACTTTGCCACAATATTAAGTAAGAAAGCACTCTAAAATCTAGTTAATCAATGTGAAAAAATCAATATTGTTGAACACACTTTAGTAGTTTTTAGTGTAGAAATCATATGAATGTTATTGATGATATCTTCCATCTTACGAAAAGAAAGTCACAAGAAATATAAAAGTTTTTATTCAGATCAAAGTCATTATTTTCAATATTGTCTTACATCCGAAACCAAAGAAGCCCAACGATAACTCCGAGAATGATACACAAGTCAGAAACAATTAATTTAATTCCAATACTCAACTCGGCAGCAAAGCCTGATAATACTTTGGGAAGAACATTGTTAATTGCATTGTATGTTAATTTTTTCCATTCATCTGCTTGTGGATAAAAGTATTCTTGTGTTTTCGAAATGATATCCTTACAAAATGGATCAGTCATATTACTGTAAAAACGACAATACAAACGTAACATAAACATTGCATTTGTTTCCATTGTCACATTGTAGGTACCAGCTTCCCAAAAGCCTCTTATAACTCGTCTTGCCTTTGTTTTGACTTTGATAGTAGCGTATGGTAGCCTGCCATCTGTGGGAAGGCCAAGATCATAAGACGACATCAGATCATTTGGTGCCCATCGCTTGAATGCAGTTTCTGACTCGTCATCAATAGGAACAAATGACCAGGCACCATATGGGCCGACGGCAGTGTGCCAATCGATGAGAAGAATATTAGTTGCATAAGGAATATACTTGTCGATAACATACTCTTCAGTCTGGCTCGACCATGATTTTGATGGCCCGAAATATGCAATACCTTGAGGCCGTTTTCCTTGTCCTGTTTTCAAAGCCAAGTTAACAGCTTCCTCACCGTAATCGGCGATCAATTGAGCGAAGACCGCGAATGCCTTCTGTCGAACAGAAACATTGCCCAAGTTAGGTATATCAATTTGATCGATTAATCGTTGAAGTATAGGATTGTCATAATCGAGTGTATAATACATAGGCTCGTTCTTTAGCTGATCAGCATTTTGTTCATTTTCTTTGAGAATATACGAAGCACCATACGGATTAATCAGATGCAAATGAACCATTCGAACACCTGGTGGAAACATTGATGAGTTTCCGCGAAGCATATTGATCTGAGCCATGGATCCAGCATAGCCTTCTACACCATGTGTACCCGAAATTGTGTAAACAACAGCACGTTTTCGTATGTCTCCTACTGCACATACGGTTGCCTGCAATTGTTCCCCATACGCACCCTTTTCTGGATGATTGATGTATTCGATGGATCCATTTGCATAGTTGCAGGCGGCTACGAATTTTCTTGTTGCTTCTGTCACATTATTCGAATAGTAGTAGTTTTCAGCTTCTGGAGTATGCACTATTTGACAGATGACAAATATATAGCAATTACTAAGAGCTAAGATGCTAAAGAGGAGCTCTTGAGGCAGAAACATCAGCGAACACGCTTTGTAATTACAACTGAATACAGTTCTGTCTACTATTGCGGTATAAATATGGCAAGACTGAATTCATGACAGTTATTAAATTTAATAAGATTTTGACATGTTATTATCGTCCGATGTGCGCTTGACATTTGATTGGCTTCATCAATAAGTAACTTAAAGCCTTTCAAAATCGTGCACAGTATTCGCATTACTAATTATTGCATGACGACAAAAGAGAAGGATTACGATCAGATTGATGTTTGGAGTAGGAAAGGCAAATGTTGTGCTGAAACTATGGTGCGATGAAATACGTTGATAAGCACAACAAAGTGCACGGAGGCTATGTCTCGCTGTAATTTTATATTCATCGTAGCTCTCTCTATGTTAATGTTAAATAGCTAATCCTTACACACTGAAAAGTACAAGAACAAGCTATTTCATCATTTGACATCTCCATAAAACTCAAAAGAACTCTCTTGTATGGATGTGGTTGTGGGTGCCAATAAGAACAAGGTCTATACTTATTTTTGACAACACAAACTTTAGCGACATGCCGATAAACTTGGATTAAGGGTGTTTGTCTTTGATAAATTGTTTTTGATGCAGAAGGAATACTAGCAATGTAATGTTTAAGCAAATCGAAGGCATTCATCGATCACTTGAAATCTCAGTTAGTCAAAATGTCACAGCGTTAGTTTTCTTTACACTTCATGACTCATTCACGACTATTACCAACAATCGACAATAATCGAATTATTGAACATTCGCCTCCATCGACAAATAAACACATCAAACCTTTGGAGCTTTTGTTGAAATGTACTTTATGATGAAACTTGTCATTCATCGAGATAATGCCACCTTTTCGTCCTAGACGAAGGGAAAGGATAAGTATTCTTAATTCGAGATACACTGGCAAATTTCAATTGAAAACGCTTTTAATGAATGATTACTCGTTTGAAAGATATTTGAAAATTATTGAAATGCTAAAGCAAAAGAAATCGATTGATCGTTTGCTTTGAAGTATCCTTTTATCCGTAGTCATTTAAGGCCAATTACTGCTATATTTAGAGTGAAGATTTCATTCTCTTGCCATCTTTCTCAAGAATATGCTTTCATGTATGTTTTCCTTCTACAAAGCCGTAAAACCAGAGTTTTTTGTTCGAAACTATTGACATTACGTATGAAACTTGAAAACATGATGCATCTATTGATATTAATTAAAGTAGAAAGGTATCTGACATGTTATCAAGGATGAACCTAACAGTATTTTTCACATTTCTTAGTATCATAGCCATGAAATCGCGAAAAAAATTTCACCAAAAGATTTGTCATTTGATTCTGTATAACAGTAGAAAAAAACAAAGCATCTCGTGAATCTGTCTCAATGACTCATAAAACGACGCCGAGCCAGGTGCTTTCTTTTTTTTTCACTTTTTTGTTCGCTTTTATTATACGTCATGTTAACGGCCCCCAAAATACAGCCGTGAATCATTTTTCGGGTTTACTATCAAATAAAAAGAAAAGAAAAGAAGCGAAATAAAAAACAAAACACTTTTCTTATGCTCCTCAGAACATATATAATATCATCTATGTAATTAGAAGAGTCATTTCTCTTCGATTAATTAGTATACTTTTGTATGTCACACTTTATCTCTGTACAACTCTGAGCAAAAGATAAATGATGGCACTAGAAGTTGGAAATAAAGATGAAGAGAACGAAGATAAGAACGAAACATTATTACCCATTTATTGCATACTCATATTGAAATGAGAACAAATTTCTTTTTATCTTACACTCATTCGAAAAAACTCATGTTACATTGTTATTTGCAAATGAAATCCTATTGACGCTGCATTTATTTATTTCTTTTTCTAAATTTACCTCGTCAACTTGAAATATTCATTTATGCTTAAAACAATAATCAACTATTATCTTCGAGCTTTGAAAATAAATCTCCAATGAACGACCACATTGATGAGTCACCTACAACAACGAAAACATTTCGTTTTAGTTCAGGTCAACTTTTGACACTAAATGAATATCAAATTGAAAAAATTCCATATTTGACTGCATTGGTCTCTGCTGGGCCTAGTTTCGATTCCATCAAAGTCGATGAAGGATACTATTTACTCGATTCTCGCATTGACTACCAAGATTTTCTATTTGTTATTGATTCAATTTCATTTCATTCGATACGACAAATATTTACTCAGCTACCTAAATATTATAACATTTTGGCTATTATTGCTCTTTTGGATTTCCTTGCTATCCGATCTGAAAGAAATCCAACTCTGGAAGAAGTTAATTTGAGTTTTTTTTGGAATTTCGAATTTGGTGATAAGTTAGATATATATCAATTTATTTGTAGACTATCTGATGTTCAAGACATGGCTGTTCGATTCGCTATTGCTATGGCAAAAGAAGAATATGATTTTAGAAATCGTCATGAGATCGATCAAATCTATTGGTTCATTATGTTTATTCTTAGTGCTCACAAATTATTTGAAGCAAATCTTCGTTATCATGTACATAAAATTGCCCAAAATTACTTTTCTATATATTGTCCATCCTTATTAGAATATTTAAATCGACTTGAACAGAGAGCAGAAAAAGAAATATATGAAACATCGATCATAACAAGTACTCATAGTAATCTTCATAGAGAAAATTATTTTGTGTGGAATTTGAATGCGTTCACCAGTGACTGTAAATTTCATGTTTGGGATGTCAATCGTCATTTATGTACTATACGCCGTTTGGGTCTGACTTTCAGGCGCTGCTCTTGCAACAAACTCGTGATATGCTTCAAACCGAAAAAAGATTATAATTTTTTCCGTGATTGTCGTAAAAAGTTGTACAATATAGATAAAAATTTCGAACATTGTCATCAAACAATATTAGAAAATATGTACAAATCTTTATTAGGCACAGTATTGAAACAAGTACCAGAGGAAACCCATGGGCAAAACATCAGTATTTTTGATGAGTTAAAGTATAAACCAATCCTAGACAATATACTGAACAGTAATACCATACAGATTGCAATACAGAAAAGAATATTATTAGAAATATGTGAATGGACGCCGGAATTAGAACGAAACCTCGTTACAGCAAGAGAAGATGAAATGCAGATTCATTCAGTGAGACCATATTGGAACATCGATGAATCAATATTGAAGACAAAACAGAATGAAGCATTGATATGTGAACTGACTCGAAACAAGTTGCATCAATATGAACATGTAATTGATGAGATAGGAAGTGCAATACTAGTTGATTTGTATGATCTCTTTATGGATGAAATTCAAATATTCGTTAATAGACAAGAAGAAATACGAACACTAATAAACAATCTGTCATTTAATCGAGAGAAAAAAGACAAAAGCTTTGAAATCAAAGAAAACGCATAAAATATACATTCGATTACGAAATATCGATCACTGTCAAACATCAAGTGTAAATATGCAATACATTAAATTTTATATTTGATCAGCATTGTAATCAAAAATGTAAAACGAACCTTATAGTAGCATTTAAATTAAAATTAAATTGAAATCTTTTTTTTTTGCAGTACGAAGAATAAAAGACCGCATCATTATTACGAATACGATGGTTTGAAGCAAATCACTAAATTACTTACGTAACGAAAATTTGTATAAATGAAAAGTTCTATCTGAATAAATGCAAGAACAATGTGTAGAAGTAGTACATCTCTTGAGATGAAAATAAATTAATCTTCTTACTGTTTTGAAAGTTAGCCCATGTTGTAATTTCCATTTCGCAGATACACAATAGGAAAAATATAGAAACATATTTCTAGAACAGAGAGACAACGAACAATTAACATTTTACATCAGTCGACAGGAAGCATTAAAATAATCTCTCAGCATCAGAACGAAACTTTCTAATGGAGTCAAACTTAAGAAAGCAGTCTATCACAAGCGACAATGTCTTCTAACTCCTGCTCCTGGATTTTTCGTTGAAAATGCGATAGAAAATGAAGAATTTATCTTAACAAAACACAGTTGTTAGCTGTCAAAAAACGAATCAGACAGAAACTTTGTTTGAATATTGAACGACAGCTGAAAGTCAAAGTTTAGATGGAAAACAACTTTGCTTCGATTAATTGTAAATCTCGATCATCGAATTCATCTCTTTCCAGCACCCCGATATCAGCAAAGAGGTTGCAACAGTTTTAAAAAAAACTGTAGATTAAATTGATTTCTACAAATCGATGGGTGTGAGTATGGACGAAATTAGTAGCTCTACTATACCCATATCAACGCTTACCCTCAAGAGAATGAATACACTTATAATTAGACACGGTAATTAATTATGATGTAGTTGTTAATGAAAAGGGAGAACGTAGGAACTACATTTTATTGAGGGGAAATAAAGTTTCTTTTTAACGTGAAAAGATAATCTGATCTCTTTCTTTCTTGGATTCGACTTTGTATAATCACTTGCTTTGCATTGCACAAGTATTTGAACCAATAAACGAGCGAAATAAAATTGTTCAAAATGAGAAATTCTACAATGATAATATGGGACATCTCTTGAGATTTTTTTGCTTTATTAAAGATTTGAATCGTGAGTCCCACAGCTCGTAATTCATGGATACCCATTGCAAAGTTGAACCAGACCATTAGTAGCTCTGTCACCAAATTCAACTTTGTTTGATTCAATTTCGTTTTATCAGAAAGAGTCATGTCGCGTCGTTTGATTCTGAAAAAAATCAAATCTTTGAATTGATCCAAATCCAATAGAACAAAAGAGTTACAATACAGATCGATGAGGTTGTTTTCAACAAATGACATTTTTACTTTTCCTCTTGTCAGGTTTAGAAGACTTCACCATTTGCACTGTTCTGAAAATTCTTTGGTAATGTTCGATCAATAAACTTGTGTATCGAAACGACATCAATCGATTAAAACGATGCAAACTCTTAAATCTTTTTTACTAAAGTTATTCTTCCAGAACTTGATGAAAATACTCTTAATTTCAAGAGGAATATAATTCAAAAACATGTTTGCTGATTTGTCAGTCGCAAATGACACTTTTCAATCTATTTCTGTCATTATGTGAATTTATCAAAAGCGAATAAGTGAGGTTTGTCGATCTTTAATTGAAGTTGAAGAGACACAAAAAGATGTTCTCATATGTACTTCTCTGATTGACGGTAATTCGATTTGTCAGTTGATTTTCTAAGTCATAGAATTGATGAAATTCTTTGGATAATAAAGAACTGATATGACAATAATAATGTTTGTCAGAAAGATTTTTTTTATCTTGTTCAATTGAGATTGAATTGTTCGATTCGAAATGATTATTTAGTAACATATTTATGTTCAATTCTAATTTAGTTTGACCATTTGTAAATCTATTTAAATAATTTTAATCTCACAGAAAAATTCAGCCCAAGTTCTATTGATCTGCATGAAACTGAAGTAATTTTGTTTTTTTTGCAAATGTTTTTGCGAGAAGTGAAATTTCGTTATTTTAGCTCAACGTTCAAAACAAATATATGAGAAACACAAATTCATCTTATTCGTATTCAAATTTTCGACTTAACTAGTCAACATGTGTTTTATTGTTCAAATGATCATTGAATAATTCGTTACATTTTAAGTAATTGAAACGAGCTGATGGTTCAATTTATCAGTAAACTTCATCAATGCAAATATAGTTCAATTTTAATCGCTGTCTAAGTCATTGAATATGATTTGACAGAAAAAAAACTTGTTTGTTCGGATGAAGTTTCATTGATATTTATTCAAATAGAACTTTATATAATTTTGTTTTTATCAACAATGTCGATTGATGTTTTCACTTGTCTTTTTGGATATTCCTTCATTCTACTGATCGAGATAAATCGTTTTCTCATCGATAATCAATGCTTTTGAGTGTTAGTCTAAGTTCTGTATATTATTCACACGCACAGTCACAGTCACATTCCACACCTACAGCCTCAAGATACTTCGCTGCTTTTCCGGAACTAGAAACGAGAAGGAATAATCATTTTGAATTGCGGAACTTTTTCGCTTATATCAATACCGTCTCTATTCCCATAAATGTTTACGCTCCAAATATTCAAAATATGAATGCGAACTTCTATCATTTAAAGAAGTTTCATGATTATTTATTTATTTTTCTTTCACAGATTTTTCAAATATTGCTCTCTGAGTACACGCAAATTTTTAGAGAACTCTTCAATACTGTTGATTAATGCTCCATACTCGAATATTACACGTTTACTTTTCTTTGACCAGTTAACTTGAATCCATTCTGCACCACCATCTGCACAATCAGGACATCCTATACGATCGTCTAACATTTGAAATTTTTCTGCGTCGAGAAGATCAATCAGTTTTTGCCATTGAGTCGAAGTGAAAGGGAATTCTCGTTGAATAGTTGGATAGTTTACTTGATTCCAATGAGGTTTTTTCAATGCGATCAATTGTAGTGGAACATTGGTTACATTAATCGATCGAAGACAATAGCCGAGACATTCTCCAAAAGATGTTCCACTCGAAATTGAACGTATGTCCTCATTTTTATCTATGATCTTAGTTTTCGTTGGTTGTCCGTATCTCACCACTAACAAAAAGGTAACGACAATAGCATACCACGACATGTTTTTCATCGTAAATGTCAATGCATGTATTGTTATACAGAAAGAGCAGCAAGAGTAATATTTTGTTTTTTTGTTAATTCCTTTTTAATGAAAAAAATGGCTTAGGCACACATCTGCTGTAATGTTTTAAGTTGCTGCTCACAAATCATTCCACTCTACAGTAGTGGCGTATCGAAGGGGGGGGGGGGCGGACTAGAGAGGGCGACGCCCTGTCACCCTAGTATCGATACTATGCTGTACACATTTTTTATTTAACTATTCTACATGATGCACGCAGTTTCGATTCAAAAGTGATGAATCCTTTAAGAGGGAGAGGGAGACTTTCCTCATTAGAAACAAATAATTTGATCAATAAAGTGCTTTTTATATTGAGTGAACTGATTTTTGTTCATACGTTTTTAAAGAGAAATAATTGACCTAAATAAACCATATCCTATTGATTATTCGAACACCAATATTGGAACAAATACGATTTGAAAACACTTCTTGTGGTAAGAAACAATTTTTTCCTCATGCATTTAATATTCTTTATTTTAATTTTATTATTCACAAAATTGAGTCCATACCGGTGAGATTCGATTCATTCGCTTTCATGTTTGATCATCATAAAGAATACTGAGCTTTGGTAATTGATTCGCTATATGTTTATCTATCGAAACCGTCACTTCTATAAAAAGTAGAAACACAGATTAGACTGTTTACATAAAATATAGGAAAAGTCTCAGTTTCTTTTTGCAAAAAAGAAAACTCTACTTGAATATTATATTATTATCGAAATTCAGTACTTAATTTCACAAGCAGTGAACAATTAGCAAACCATAATATTCAATATTCATTCATCATTGATCGTATTTCATCTCGAAAATCATATCAATATGAACAAACACAACGATAGATATTAAAATCATCAAAAGTGAAAATAGATCATAAGACCATATGCCTTTTGGTTTTCAATGTAAATATGAAGGAGGATGGGTCTTCTTTTCATGCATACTTGCACTCACACAGACACGTAACTTTTTTAATCTTTCTTTATATTGACACCTTCCCCAGCTGACTATAATTTATAATTTTATGTGGGTGTGGGTATGAATCGTCTATTCTCTTACACCCACACCCACACCCAGCGATGCAGTGTAGTCAGTTTTCAGTGCTCAGTGAATCGGTGACATCAGTTATCAGTAAACTGAAACTGCACATCCGTAGGTTTACCTAAAGCGCCACTTTTACATACCCTAGCACCAACACTCGCACACATCCTAGTTATTACCATAACTTGAAAACTTCAAACATAAGTATGTCATTATGTATAATTATCTTGTTTAAAAACAGAAAGTATATGCAAATGTTCTGAAAAACAAATCATGCAGCTGTAAGTCGAATAAACACATGTAGAAAGAGAGAAGTTTTATTTGCAAGATGAAATTTCATATCGACGATTAGATGTTGCGTCTCTTTCAAGAGTGTTATAGTTTCACGAATGCAAATACTCTTCACGATTTGCTGGATCTCGTATTTAAAATAAAAATATATCACATGATAATATTAAGAAAAAAAAAAGTACATTATACCAAACCTATAATGCTTTTGATTGAATTCACTTTGACGATTCAATTGTACTGCGACATAGACGGTGAATAAAATAAAAGTTGGAAAAAAAGCATAGAATATTATAATTCTTACAAGTTGAAGATGACTTCATCAGTCGTGGTTGTGTCGATACATATTTTGTCACAGGTGGCTGTGAATTTTGTTCAAATTTCGTAACTTCACCTGAAATAAAACCGGATACAACATTACAAGTTTTTCTTCTGAGACACCTTCTTTGAATTGTGAAAAAAAAAAAAATACTTACGCGGGAACATATTCAGCTGTGGGACACCATTTAATCCTATATTTTGGCTACGAATAGAACTCAGTGAAACTAAGAAAACTCTGAAATAGTTCGTATTCATCATCACTCAGTCAGAGTTATGAATGGTTGTAGTAGATTTTTTTTATCTCTAGAACAGCTATTCATGTAAACCGCAGTGATAAGATTTTCATCTGAAATTTTGCCATTAAAGACAGATGCCGTGACCACTCGAATATATTAATAATTTCAGCTCAAACAAATGTATCTTTTTTTAAGATATAGAGTATCCAGCCATTGCTTATTACATATACATCCC